GGGGCACAATCCCTCATCCTTTACTCCCCTCTCTACAAAATGAAAAAAGAGACAAAATAAGTTTTTTTCTCTAACACGTGCCATGATATGTTTTACATTTGCTTATTTTCGCACGACAAACTTTATTTGTTCTTTTGCCCATCCTCCTTAGCAAAATTCTGGATCTGCAAGTGTACATTGGCATAAGGAGTGAACTAAAATGCCCTCGTCATAATATTTCACATTTTTCAGGTACGATAACTCACGTAGAAGAGGTAGATGTTGCCGTTGGACCACACCAGACCAGCCTGAGGAGAGCGAGGGTACAGTCGGTCGCGAATCTCGGTCTTGGAGATGAATCGATTTCCGTAGTATCTCCAGACGTAGCGTCCTGGATTCAAAATAACCATGAGATGAGTACAGATTAAAATATACAAGTGGTAGTCGTTTGGGGGGAAACAGTTTAAATAGATGGGTAAATTACAAGAAAAAACATTTTATAAGGCATGTCCACGTTTGTTTTTAAAACCATTACAATAAGAACTTGATATAATTGGCATAGACTAAAAATATCTACATAATGCTTTGATAAGAAAACATAAATGATTAAAAAAATTAATACACTATGGACACTTTCATATATCACTGATTCATTCTATAGCTATTTTCCACAAACCAGTCACTTATTTTTACTTTCTGTGGCTCGACAAACTTCAGAATACAATTTCAATACCTCGATATACTTCAGAATACAGAAATATGCTATTTAGTATTGTCTTATGAAGGATTCCTTCTTACCTTTGAAGAGATATGAATATCTGGTCCTCGTAGAATGTACTGCCGCCCCCACGTTCTTTGGAGCATTAGGGAATTCACTCTTGATAGGTTTGGGGTACCCCCTCATCAGCCCTCGCTCATTCAACTTGAACACACGATGTGAGCGAAACACGTAATAAACAGAGGAAGACACTAGGAAAGAAAAATGGTAAGTGTAAGAAACAATGCTTTAAACGTGGTATATTAATGAAAGGATATTAAAAAAGTTATGGGTTTTAAAGACCGTATAACTTATTCTAAACGTAAAACGATGTTTTTGAAGACGTACCAAAATTAGAGCTGTTTAGGTGTAATTATACGACTCCACAAGCAAAAAATGTTTTCTTTAATTCAAATGAGTCATGATATCTACAAACCTTCCATAATGGCATCAAACTTAAAAGAATCCCGACACCATGACGGTGTTCTTCCAGTGGGCGGCTGTGTGGGGCGGGGTCGCGGTGGAGGCGGTCTTGTTGGACGTACTGGAGGGAGGTAGGTCACGCGTGGCACTGGACGCCTGGTGACCACTGAGGTTCTTCTGGGACCTTTTGGCATAAATACGAAATTCTTCATTATTACAAAGGTAACAAGAAAAGGAATTTTAAGAAAAAATTGAATTGAGGATATTTTTTTCAAATTCGAAGCCAGGATATCGTTTTATCTACTATCTACTGCCTGCCTGCTTGCTAAATAACGCGCTCGTGAATGTAAGCGTTCTGAAGATCGTACTCACCCACGTTATTAAAATCACTTAACTTTTAACAGCAATGAATAGCATGACCCGAACAAAAAACAATGTTTAGAAACTAAACCTTACAAACTAAATTTACCATAAATACTCTGAATTCCACGAATATCATCTGCCCGTAAGGCAAAAGACCGTTCAAATCCTTGGTAGTATGGGGCCATCAGTGCCCCCCGCACCTCGGAGTGACTGAGACCGAGAGCGTGGCCAAACTCGTGCGTTGCTACGATCATGAGGTTGGTCCCAGAGTCCGTATTGTCCGTCCAGGTTTCATCTTCATCAAAGTGTGTGTCGCCGTTCTCGGGGAAGAAAGCGTGGGCAAGAATTCCACCTGGAATGTTATAATCTTACATTTATGGAAGTGAAAAATAACAATATGCATTTTATTCTTGGGTGTAATAATTTGTTTATGTATGTTTTTGGAATTTCATAGATATGTTCTCAGTTGATTTAAGAGACAAAATGTTGAGGACAGCAAACTACCCCTCTCTATCTTATTAGTGTGTGTGTGTGTGTGTGTGTGTGTGTGTGTGTGTGTTTGTGTGAGTCTATTTATCTTAGCAAATTTTCGAAATACATTACCTCTTCCATCAAAAGCATATCCGTCACCATGGTTGTACCTGCTAAATTGTATGACAATGTCAGCTGTCCCACGAGTCTCTCTAAATGTAAGTGGGGTCACCTTGCTCCAGTGTTCAAATGCTTGATAAAACGCGCGCCTGAAAATGCAGTTAAGAAAAACGGTATAGATTAGTCATGATTCGCGTGAAAATTTACTACAATTATATGTTTTAATATACTGTATATATTACGAGAAAAAACATTGAACATTATTTCTTTCGAAAAAAATGTTCTGAAAAAAAGGAAAAGCGTATCAGTTAAAAAAAATAGCACAAGCGTAAGGAATTCAATACAAAGTGTTTGAAGGAAGCAGTGGTTACCTCTGTACTCCCTGGCTCAGATCCGGTGAATAGTTTATCACTTTCCACGTGAGGTCCGTCTTCCGCCATCTTGAACCTGAAGTAGCATATATCATTATAGTAAAACTTCAGAAATTGAAAATTAGAGTTTTTGAAAAAGAAAAATCATAATATCGATGAATAACAGTTGCATTAAAGTTATGCTTTTTTTATATAAAAAATGCAATTGATCTTTGACTTTAGTGGCAATGCGCGCTTCCATCTTCTGATTTCAGTCAGCATTTTTTTACCAAACCTTGTTATTTTACCTTGAGCTCTAAACTGCTGAGGGCCCCTGGGGTCCGAGTTGTCCATGTCTGGCATACCGCACCGTGGCGCTCGCATCATTTCACGCGTCTTCGCGTCCAATTCACCCGTTACTGGGATGTGCGCCATTCGCTGGAACTGCCTGATTGAAAAACGTATTTATGTATACATGTATCACTTCACATCAGATTGTGAAACCCAATGTATTTTTGGCATTTTCAGTATGCTCTTTTAAATGAGCCTAGATTCTTTCTTTCCAGTATGTCTGTTTTTGTTTTTCTTCCCAGCAGATTAAATGTTTGCCCCAACAATACCCTTTGTTTCAAAAGTCACTGGGAATTCGCCACTACAGCAATCAGAGAGCTGCATAATTCAGGGTGCACTACAGACGCCACAAATGTATACCCTGAGACGAGAATATAGCAGAAACACATGCACAAACTCTGCCTGTTATTTTTTTAACTGCCATTTGTAAATAGCCAAATGCGGAAACAAAAGCCAACCTCTAATATTTTTATCTCAACCGATTTTCTAAAACTGTAGATTTAGACTACTCAAGCTGAGAATAGACATGTCGGTGGGCTTATTACCGGTGTAATCACAAAATAGCCATGCTATATTTGACTTCGTGTCCAGTTCACTATTTGAGTAGAAAGATAACGCTGGGCAGGGACCAACTTTGTGTAAGGTAACGTTGGATGCTGACGCCATGGCGTTCGATGACTTTAGCAATAGGGCACTGTGCAATAATCTAACCAAAGAAAGCGGCTACTCATCAAATGCCGTTTACAGAATGTGCTAGTCATGATTTAAAACAGTGTAATGCTGAGAAGTGAAAAAATAAGGACAACTTCAATAATCTGTGATCTTTATTATTTGTAAATGGTCTTCTTGTGTTTTTTTTTTCTTTCTACCTTCTGTACTTACCTCAGTGCTCTGTGGAAGCTTGAAATATCTACGTAACCATCAGATCTGTTCGTCTTTGGCAGATATCCAAACTTCTGAAGGAAACTCTTAAAAAAAGAGACGTAAAGGATACAAATAACCATATATGATTTTAATGCGTCTGCGAACAAACAAAGATACTAGTAACATCCAAGATTACATTCCTATTTATTCAAAATCGCCTGTATAGCGGTAAAACTGTACTGTTTGTAAGAAAGTGGGCGATATATTCTATATGCAAACAGAGTTGAACTAGACAGCTTTTCGTCCTTAAACGATGTTTTATTTTTTGACCCTCCCCACTTTGTAGAAAGAAAGACATAAAGAAAAAAGTTCTTAAGATGAACGACTGGTGTTATTTTTAACTTTATAACAAACAGTTTGAACTTAATTTGACCCATCATTTTTCTCAGTTCAAAACTAAGGAATGGGAATCACAGAGCTTAGTAGCAAGATGAAGAATATCAAAGAAGCGCCATGCCACGCCAAAGAAAATGAACATCTGGATCACATCAGATAAGATATAGATACTGACCAACAAATGCTGATGACGATAAAAAGAAAAACTATATTAAGCCCACTAGGTATCGCCAACCCCAATGAAATACAAAAGAAGCGCAACGAGAATATCGGTTAAATGAAAGCAACTATTCTGACAAATTTACCAATTTACCGTCCCTTCATAATTTAATTCTCACTTTAAAAAATCCAGGAAAAGGACTCACCACTGAACCTAAAGCGTTCCCTGAAGAACGGATATCCCTTGAGTTCACTTCTTCTTCACCTTCAAGTTTCTTAGCCGCAAAAGCAAGATTTACAAAATAGATCAACCACAATACATGTACAGTCAACCGTAAGGAAGCAACATGCATTTTGTTGCTTTCCTCTTTTTTTCACTTAAACTGCTATAACCGCGTTCAAACTGAAACGGGATGAATACTAAACTGATTCTTTTCTCTCCTTGCGTCCTTTTAAGTGTATTCTGCTTTTTAAGGAGGTCAGATTTCGCCCCCCTTAGTCTAAATATTAGAGCAATACATATTTACTCTGTAAATATTTTAGAGTGTGGGTTGCTTGTGATTGACCCAGCGACCAGTGGGAAGTGAAGCAATGACGTCTATCCAAAAACTTGAGTAACCGACATTATGAAACGAGCTTTTTTTGTCATATGAGGCGCACTATTAAACAGGGACACGTTATGTGATCAAATATTACTTATATTTGCATTATATATCTTTAATGTAAATTCTTTTGATAGACTTATCTTGAAATGTAGGTTCGAAAGATATTATTGGCCTTACTCATTCTTTCTTTTCAACAGTCTTGAAACGCATGTAACTGGACAACTATGTGATATCATATGAATGGCAGAACTAGACAATATGAAAAGAATGTTCTCCGAAAGTATTTCAGGTGCACAAAGTCGTCTTAATAATAGACCATCAACAATAATCCGGAAGAAAGTGACACAATTTTTGACAATGACCATCGGATTTAATTCTGCTTAGGTGTAACAAAACCTTAGAGTGTGTGTGGTCGGTGTAGACTACAGTAAACAAAAATTTTTCTTACCGCAAATATCATGTAATAAAAAACGGACATGCCGCCGTAAATTGTCCCGTTCTTGTTTTATGGACTGTTGATGTTGTGAATTAGGCAAAATTGCACATTTTTATTAAAATAACATATAGCAGACAGCATGATTGCCAAGAAAAAGAATGAATTTTGTACTTATAATATCTGTCCACGATAGGAGTTTATTAGGGATAAGCTAAACTCTTGTGGATTACTCTTGTTAGATCAGTTATACACGAGATAAAAACCTTATGCTATGAATCAGAATTATCGTTTGACAAAAACGATTTACAAAAATCTTCAACCTAATTTTTTGGCTTTGGGCACATAAAATTATGAATTTATGCATAAAAGAATTCATTGAAGTGAGTATGAGCGAAATTTCACTCTACATAAAAATAATACAATAATAATATAAAACGCAAAATTACAAAACGGTCAGAAAGTGACCAATACAAATTTCAGTTGTCACCATCAGCGCCAAACAGTGGAGGTGACTGTGGTAAACAGTGTTATCATCGTTTATATTGAATCATTCTCCAAAATTACCGCAATCTTATTGCTTGCGCGAAGCATAAACGCCACTTCTGGACTACAACACGCACTTTCCGACACATGTACAGGCTTTGTCATTCGCCACCTTTAATACGGATGTATTGCAATATTAAAGGCCGGATTTCCTGTCAGATATAGTAAGCCCTGGTATACTTTCTGGACGATTCAGCTCGTGTATCAGTTTAGCTTCAGCGATTTGATTACTTAAAGGACACCCACATGACATTGCGATATTGCTTGCTATGAATCATTTTTCATTAGGTAACGAATTTTGAACCTTTATCAAAATCACAATGGTGAGAGTAGGTCACCCCCCCCCCCCCCTCTCTTGGCTTACGGTACTCGAAATTCCTTAGATGCTTGATGATGCTTAAATGTGAAATCGTAGAAAAAAACAGAGGGAGTATTGAAAAGAGAGTAAAATGAGCGCTTAGTTGACTCTCCTAAGTTGTTTAACTTAGGCACCTACTTGATGAACAATGCGTCACATGAAGCAAGCTGAAGTGTTCATTCTAGTCTTTCATGATGCTCTTTTATTTTTCCTTCGTCTAATGCATCACAATGACAAATATAATCAAAACAATTGTTATAACTATTATTTCATGCAAAAATGATGGTCAGACTTTAACAATGCGTTAGCTGTGACTAAAGGAATTAGAAACCACACCGCGAAAGCAATCCAATGGGCTGCGTCACATATTCTCTTACCAGTTTAGGCTGGAGATTGTCATTGGTTGTTACTGTTACTGGTTGTCACTGTTTCGTTGGGGGAAATGTTACCCAGCAAAGCTCCAACCCTTTTTATTTTACATCATTATGTCCAGTTTTAATCACACAAAATAATCTACATGCACTTGGGGAAATGAAACGGTTTATATACTTAACCCTCAAAAGTAAGTCACAGGCCATGGTATTCTTCACCACAAATACCATCAGGTGAACCAACACTGTAAAATCTGCAGATCCCACCTTCAACGTGTACTATAGTGTACACCGCACCATTCTTATACATTATATCCTCATTTTTTGTTTTTTAGGAACTAAAATTATCTTTAAAAATTATCGATACCATACGAATTTTTGTTATACGTAGTCAGTAAGGGGTTGCACTTTCATGCAACAATGTAGTCTTTATTAAGTGCAAAGTTATGCTTATATCACATGTACTCTATTATTCCATGTCGTGTATGTAAACACAGATATTTTACTTTTAGGTCATTGCATAATAATAATAATAATAATAATAATAATAATAATAATAATAATAATATCAACAACTGCAAGAACTACAAAAATTATAATTCTGCTGTAATGAAGCGCAATCTTCAATTTTCTTCTCTAACACAATCAAGATCTGACAATCGACTCGCTTTTGAATGATTACAGAGATGCGATCATTCAGAAATGCAGTGGACACTCATGATAAAGAACAAAGCAAATCTGTCATCTTAAATGAGCTCTGAGATTTAGATTGCCTAGGGAAACCCATGTTTTGCCATACATTTGATAGAATGGCTCTTTAAAAGTCGCGATAAATGTAAATCAGCGGAACAATGATTCACGCTGAGCGTTGAGTTAGCCGGTGCATTGTCTGTAGAAATGAACAGAAGCGAAAATCAATATCTAGGATGGTGCAACCTTCCTTTCCCTCCACAACTTGACTCTCATTCTACACAATTCGATTTGACATACAAACAAATTTAGGATATAACAGTAAACACGACTTTTAACTCAGACAGCTGAACATTTGACTTTATGCTCCTTCATCCATTCCCGTGTGTAACCTTACTTTTGTATTCTAGCATCTTAAGTTTGTTTAACGTACCAGGAGAGACCAAACGGGGGTGCATCGAAGCCAACATAACACCCAGCAAAATCAATCGGTGCACCAAAGGCGTTTATTTCGCAGGGATTATGAATTGAAAAAAACAGAACAGACCCAATATTCACTTGTGAATTTTCAGTAAGTATGACGCATCACAGCAGGATAAGTTGTCACATATTATACTTCCCCTGGCAGCTACTTCCCGCGGGAAGACTTGTAACAATACTGGACGTCGCTGCAACTGATCGCACCACTTAGAGGAAATGGAAGATCTCTCACAGGATGCTTGACAAAGAAGAACAATCCATCGTGACACATCGCAATATTGAAAGAATGGTTTCACTGAAATCTGACTTGTATCACTGAGCCCCGACCCGACTAAAGCTAATTAGAGCGAGCTGGGATTATATACACTAATTGAATTCTGTGTGAGATGAATGTTTACGTCACACTTTGCCAGCGGAGAGTAGAGCACAAGGATAGCTTTATTTACAACCCGTCCGGAAACGGCCTTATAAATGCACTGTTAATAGATTGCACATGTGAGCTAGATGCTCGGAGAGAGAAAAAGAGACTGAAGTGAAAGTTAGGAGTAAAAACTGGCAATATAACTCGCGTTCGGTGTGCTAATTTAAAATTGTCTTGCAATATTCCAAAGAAGTCGAAGTATTATTTTAAAACCGATTTCCGACAACAATGCATATTCATGGAATTAGGACAGTTAGCAGACCATCCCCTACTAGCTAGACAACCCACAAGGAAGATGACACATGTTGTACTAATAGGATTTTAATGAATTATACACGACATCATTCATAAAGAGCACAACAAAGAAGAGGAAGGATCCATCATTGTGACAAGAGGACGCTGGAAACTGACCAACAAAGAGTTATTGCCAAGAAGACGCTTGCAGGGGTTTGATTTTTATCTTCGCAGACGACGTTTGAAGCCAGAACTCACGCGCTCATAGTGCGGATAAAGCGGTCTAGGATTCCAGTCAGAACTAATTTAGCTTTATGTGTTTTACATGTTCGGTTTGTATAAACACACAGTAGTACGGTTTGTCAGGGGGAAGGCTATATCGAAGCCACTGCACAGAACGGGATGTTAAACGTATACGGTACGGTGAAAAAGCCTGTACATGTAGCACACCAGCAGCAGCTTTTGGCAATCATACGCAATATATATAGCTGAATTCGGTTTCAGCGCTGGGCACGCTTAGCGTTGTGCCGTTCTTTTCCCAGCACTATATGAGTCAGTTACAACGAAGCTAGGGGAAAGCAGATAATTAAGACAAGATGCCTGCCTGGCTTGAATTTGCTGGGGCATTGCTCCATTTCCTGTTATTCCTGCTAGTTCCCGCCAGAACCTCTGAAACGCACACAGCAGACGGTATAATCAGCAACGGGAACGCGAGCGTGTTTCATGAAGGCCTGGTAAGTTCAGTATTAGGTATGTCGATATGACACTTAGCATTTGCTGCTCAACTAAATTATGTCGATGAGACAGCGCATTTTATTCTTTAGGCCATACATTAAGGTGCCGTGCGTAAGAAATGGACTGAGAGCCAAATGCTCATATTGCATACACTTCGTATGTCATGGAAAGCGAAAGGTCCAGATTAGTCTAGCGTAACGTAATATTTCATTTCGAGACTGAACCAAAAGTTCGCTCAGAAATGGGCTTGGGCCAGACTATTTTGCACTGTGCAGACTAGTAAGGTTTAACAGACGATTTAAGCAGACAACTCTCCCGATACTAGGTAATGCATATTGATTCCATGTGTATGTGCACATCTAAGTCCATAATTTTCTGAATCGATGTCGCTTGTACCAAAGCTCGTTGTCTATGCTGTTGCTACTAATTCATAATGCTTTGGTGTATACGATATAATACCTACTGCACTTAATAGGAAATAGTATTTTCTCACTTATATCGATTTGATAATGACCGGAGCCATGTATGTTCATATGCATCTGAATCAAATATTATGCTACACATAAGCCAACTTTTCAGTATGACCTCAATTTACATTTCATATTCGCCTTTTATTCACTAACCCGGATTTCATAGCTATAAAGTTTGTGATTTTCGATGTTTTAACTTAAACGACCTTGCGCAATGTATGTGACTAAGCACAGCTATTAAATACAATCCTTTAAATCCAATTAATGTAATTTATGGCCTATACACCCTGAACCTCAGAACCGGTCATAAGACTCGATCATATATCATCTGTGGCTTTTATGAATACTCTTGTTATTGTCCGTTGTTTGTGGGGTTTCAAATGTGGGGGGAAGGTCCCACTGGAATCATGCGATCATTTCGAGGCGAATCTTGTCGTTTTTTTTCCTCGGTGAACTTTGATAAGGAACTTGATGATAAGTAAAAATGTAAAGAACTCGTAGATTTTTAATCACTCTGAAGAGGGACAGAAATCCCCAGGTCTAGTTTTTATTTTATTTATTTATTTATTTATTTGTTATTTAGGCTGTCAAGTTTACTCTAAGACATGCCAGAATACATGTCTAATTTTGCAGCGTTTATATACAATAAATACCCCCCCCCCCATCCGTCCCCTTGTACATGTTTAAAGAGACAGGTGCCCGTTAGATATCGCTGTGTTGAACTAGTGGCGCCGCGTCCAGTTGTTCAGCCAGAGCGGTTGTTTTACCACACCAAGGGGGAGAAGGGTTTGTAATTAATCCTGGACAGCGTTCAATGGGAGTTCTTGCTGGGAACAACACCAGGGTGTGACCTGACATACAGGCAGTTCTGGGATGGTGGACAGCCTAAGCAAACTTAGCAATAAATTACCTCATAACAAATGCCACGGGTGCTTGATTACGTAACGCAGAATTACTGCTCTGACAGTGTCTATCTTTCATCGGCCATGTGGTTTCCCCATGGCCTAAATGCCAAAGTCTTAAGGAATCTTATCCAGCCAACCACTCAAAAAGCGACAACAAGCTGAGAAAGAAAATATTATCCCAAACGCGTCAGAGGCAGATAGCCACAGCCGTTTGCATTGATGCTCTGGTTTCTCAGCACAGATTAAAGAGTTTCAGTTATTTGCGCCTGCAGATATTAAGGACTGGCCTTGGCCATGGTGACTGGATATCGTCTTACAGTGCAACAGAGGGGATTTTTCATTTCACGCCCTTTGCCTACAATTTTAAATGCTTTAAGTATGTACATGCTGTATACTGTGTATGTGTGTTCAAAATGGCTAGAGGATCCCAAAAGAGTTCAAGTTAACCAGAGGGTTCGGCTTTAACTTGCTGGCAGACAGACGGAAGATTTGTTTGAGTAGAGGAAATAGGAACTGAGCTTACGAGTTTGTTTATCTAGATAGCCCAGAGGTTAGGGCACTGCAAGCTCCTTATCTTCCCGGCAGGACTTCCTAATAAACTAGAATATAAATCGTCCTGTTCCACTCAAGTAAGGTTGCGTTTCCAGCAGTTTGCAGAACGCACCGGTCACACCGGTAAGAACGGTTCTAATGCGCAACCACTAGCGAGCTTTCATGAAAGAGATTTGTTAGATCACTGTATTGAATTTCCCCAAATTAGCGTTCCATTTTCGTGGAAACAGTCTGCACTGATTGTCAGACTTGCATTACTTGTGGAGTAACCCATTTCTGTTCCACGTTTCAGCAATTCCTCATTCGCTATGGCTACCTCCCCAGCTCGGACATGGAATCTGGGAGGGCGGAGCTGCGAACTGCAGAAGAACTGGGCACTATCATCAGAGATTTCCAACAATTTGCTGGGCTCAACAAAACTGGTTACCTTGACGAAGCCACCATAGCTCAGATGAAGGCCCCTAGGTGTGGGGTTCAAGATATTCGCCCAGGCTACCGTTACAGCAGACGGAGGCGGCGAAGATACATACTTGGCCCGTCCAAGTGGAAAAAGAGACATTTAACTTACAGGTGAGGCAACTTTCCAGCGTTGGAAAGTTAGACCGCTTTTGGGCGTGGTACTAAAAATCTGGACATTAAGAAATGGTTATGGGTTGAAACTTTTCAGAGTCAATTTTGTATCCTAGCCTGGCAGTGGTACTTAACATTATGGTTTATTTCAGTAGATTTAAACCATTCTGGGCTGAGAGTTTCCACGAGATGTTTCTGCCACGTTTACCTCAATCAGTGGGTTGTGATGTAATAGTGACGTCATCACAACCTGCATGAAGGAGGTAAATTTGGCGGTTCTATCAACAAAGTTTCCCACGTGTTCGTTAAGTTGCTTCTTACACGGGGTGCACATAGGGTGCCGCCCTTGTGACGTCAGGCATAGGAGTGCTGCAAAAATGGCGGCAAAATTATCAGCAGCAATCAAAACATGAAAGTTGCAGCGCACAACCCAAAAACACTTGACTCAATTTGGCGCAATTGGGGGTTTGTTTCTTGAATCAACCGAGTGAGATCAAAGAGAAGTGGCAAAATCAGCTGCAAAAACGAAGTTTTTTCCTAGAATTCTGCAGATGGTCGCTCTTGCTATGGTTTATTGTTATTACACCATATCTACACGACTTTGGCGTGACTTGCAAACTTAGCAGAAAAGCTCCAACTGGTCCTATCTGAACCTCAAATTAACAACAAACACACTCCGAAATATCTGACAACCTTGGTGAGAAATGGGAGAGTCTGAAAACTTGTCTTTCATCTTGTTACTGAAGAACGGTGTTCCTGCATTCCGTCTTGATAAGGTGCATCCGTTCCTGTTCTTGGGAGTTCCCGACTAGTGTGTATCTAGAAATCCACACATGCCTACACCGTACGTTTCATTTGCACGTAAAACACAACATGATAGAGAGCAACGCAAAAAAATCTGGGGGTGGGGGTGTGTGTGCTAATTTAACTTAAAGAAGAAGGCATTCTCCAGTTGAATTGACGCTTTCCGCCTTGTAGGAAATAAATGCTCTTCAAAAATGTAGGCAAGGCGTCCGTTCAAAGGAAACGCCATAGCCCGCGATAGGCCCTGCTATAAATTAATGAATGAGATACGATAATTTAAGAGTGAGCCATTTAAAATTTTTACCATAAGGTGTGGAGCAAAAATTAAATCAGTAATAAAGTTTATTTCGTTTTATTACTTTTTTCTGAACGAAGTTATTCTTGCAGGTTGAATAATAGCCGGCCGTTGGAACTACAACTGAATTTATCTGTTTGTTAACCAATAAGAAAAGCGAAAATTAAGGTCAACTAAACACTCAACGAAATGAGAGTGGTCTATTAGTCAGCATCCTTTACATACAGGGCAAAGCTTTCTTGACATCATCCTTACAATCAATGTAGACCTACAATCATTTGGGTTAAGAAAGATAAAAAGGTTAATAGTTCATTAACTAAGACAAAGACAAAATGCATATTATCAAGAACATTATAAATGAACATAAGAATACTGCTGAATTTCAACACTCAGTTGAAGTGACCACCCTTCACGCTTCTATTTCATCATAATAAAATTCAGGACGAAAAAGTTGAGTTAGACCAGTATACAGCTAATTTGAAAAGAAAAAGAGCAGCAATGAAAAGACGCAATTAGACATGGCAATGATATGGCTCAAGTCACTGTCGTAAGCCATGTAATGCGATGCTCCAGAATAAATAAACTGATATCAGCCGAGGAAAGCTGAGCTTCTTTCCAGACCTTGTGCCTGTTGAACTTCACTCGAAAGTCAGTAAAAACCAATCTACCCGTCGCTATAAATATCTCCAAGTTTACGTCACGAGGAAAAATAAATAAACCATTTGTACATATTTTTTTCTAGTTAATGTCTGCATATTGACCCAGACACCAAAAGAAATAACCTGCTCATGATTAAAATATACTTCAAAGACGCATCCGTTTATGCTCTTTACCGCCGTCATGTCTATCACCAAGCTTCTTCCTGTTATATTGAAACGAAATATGATCCGAAGCTCAGACCGAAAAAAGCTTGACAATGTCACACATTACAGAAATATTTGACAGGAGTGCTGACATGTCCTTTGTTAAGTGTTATCAAGTAAACGAAAACTTTAAACTTCAGCGTTTTTATTGAACTGAAACGTCAATCACCATGACGACTTTGGTATTGCTCGCCCTCTCTCTTCTTTTCCAATGGGTAATGAGAGCTTTTCTCAAGAAATACCATGTAGAGGTAGGCCTGTACATGTATGTAAAGAAATCTGGTCAAAAAAGGATCATGATTAATAAAAATGAATAAAACCTATTTTAAATGTAACTTTTCAGCTTTTTACACGAATTTGATAACAGGGTTGGAAATGGATATTGATAAAAAAATTAATAAATTAAGTTGATTCCCAAATCAATGTTGCCATTTCAGGTTTGAAACATACTCCAACGTGATGTCAGACTATTTACGGACCAGAGATGCCATCACCCAGGCACTGAAACATTGGGAGAAGGTGACCACACTTAGATTTACCGAACAGCTGTCCGGGGAGGCGGACATCAAGATCAAATTCGGCAAAAACTACCATGGCGACGGTTATCCGTTTGATGGTCGAGGTGGGTAGTAACAACTGTCGTTTGGATCGTCCCTGTAGGAAACAAATAGAGGAAAGAAAAAATTGAGAGGGGCTATTTATTTTGAAATCATGGCAATTAACCTTGCACAGTTTTCAGATTAGAAATAAACGTACAGTAACGACTGAGAGTTATAAAAAAGAAAGGCGCAAACCCATCTTTTTAGATGTACCACTTTCTCCATATCTCGATCATGCGGCATTTGACGTATATAAGGGTAATATGATAGGCAGTAACCTACAGCACAGACCCTGCTCGGCTTGATACTCCGTGCCCGGGCTCCATGCAGGCACTCTGTGGATTCGGTTTTTTACCCGCTAAATGTCCTGCAAATCCTGAAACAAAAGAAGTTAATCTGTATTTATCCTCGCTTCCCGTGGCGAAGCCCATGAATCACTCCATACAACTGTCTGGACTTGAAACAAACCCCCATTCATCTCTCCATTTCAAAGTAGAGCGCACAGGATAGCATTTGGCAGCCGTTACCATGAACGCTCCAGGCTCATGCGTGTAGCGTGTAAAACGACATGTCAGTCGGAGTTAAGATGAAAATACAACTGATGATTTTATGTCAATACCGGGGATGTCGTATTTACCCATGGGATATAAACTTCCATTGACATTTTACGGTATTGGCTTTTTTCCAAGTTCTTTAGTGTATAGCATTTTCAGTGTACGGTTATTTTCTGCGTACATTGATTTTCTGTGAACGTTGATTTTTTGTGTACGTTTCTGTGTCGTATTTTGGAAAAAAAAAACATGGGTTTCATAGTACACTTACATACATGACGACTCTATAATCTGATTGAACAAAAGGTATTGTTTGCAATGAAAGCAACCACCTCTAAAGTTCGTTTGTGGTAAAAAGTGGTAAAACGCTGGCACGTGACCCACTCTACCACAGCGTCAGAGCATGAGTGCTCTTTTAAAAGAGAACGCAGCCTGTGGCAATACCCAAGAATAAATAACCTCAATCATTCCCATCAGATAGCCTGCTTCTTGAAAGATGGTTTATATCTATTTCATTACAAAAACAGCGGTGCTACTCACGATGCCGCTATTTCGAAATGTCAGTGCAGCAACTGGAACCAGGCAGTTGTTTGCTTTCGCTCTGATTCCAATTACCTTTGAAAACTGTACTCCCTGTTTGGAAACCTGCATTTTGTAAAATTGTATCTTAAATATGCTACCGCGACTATTCGTACTGCAAAGTTCTCAAAGGCGATCCAACTGACCCAAAAATTGTTTGTTTTTATAATTAAAATCTTTGCAAAACGGCTTTTACCAAACCACTTGGCACGTTGGCTTTGAATACCGTTTCAGATTTTCGAGAATTTCTGATCTGTTTAGGTTGTTTTTCTCTCAGTTCTGGTGCAAGTGAATTGTTGGGTTTAACTAAATCATGAATGTAAACTTAGTGGATTTTAGTCCTGTTTCTGAAACTGTAACTTGTGCTTTCATTCCGTTTCTGAAAAGGCAAAAGGTTTGTCTGGAAGCGAGTGCTCAGTGGTTTCATCTGGAATTCAGATGTGAACATGTAGAATTGTTTGTTAGTTCAACAGTCAGAGTTTAGGCATGTGTGTCATGGAATACTTGTCTATGTGGTCAGTTGCATAGTTTGCACGTGAAAACAACTAGAGATCAAAGGCAAAAACTATGAATCATCACGATATGCCCAGTTGCAATATACGGGCACTAAAATCTGGTACACATATACCTTTGTCATTTAGAAATAAAGTCAATTAACACACACAGTTATTTATCTATTATACACAAATATGTGTATCTTTATTTACTTTTCTCTTTCAATGAATTTTTCACTACTTAATGGCAATATATTTTTGCACCAGGTGGCATCCTTGCACATGCTTTTTTCCCTGGAGATGACAATGGTGGAGACACACATTTTGATGATGATGAAAGATGGGTCACAGAAGAGCATCAAAGTGGTAGGTATTCTTGGTTGTCAAATTGAAATAATGTCAAGTGTCACTGTTGATTCTGATTATGAAGCATACAAAGTTTTTTTTTAATTTGACTTGATGCTCAGCAACTACAGTACTGCAATACCTTTTAATATATTTAATTCTCCAACAAGTAATAACAATATCATATTATTATGTAATTTTACTTGGTTTTCAGGTACAGATCTGTTTTCTGTTGCTGTGCATGAATTTGGTCATGCCCTAGGCTTAGCACATAGTGATGTCAGAAATGCCATTATGTTTCCATGGTATAAAAAATACAACCGTCCAAACTTTGGTTTTCATTCTGATGATATTGAAGCCATATCAAAATTATATGGTGAGTATAGTAACGTAGATGTACCACACAATTAATTAGAACCATGATTTTAAATGATAATAGCATTTTGAACATATTAACTCAAATAATTGTCTTGTCAGTAATAAAAACTTCTTTAAGTTTCATGAACATACTGGTATCAACATCAGTCTCAGACAGAAAAAAACGTTTCTCCAATGCAAAGGTTGAAGAAACAAAATTTTATAATAACACATTCAGGTAAAAAAAACTTTTGTGACAGATACCTTACTTACTTTTCCCATGCCACTTACAAGATGGTGTTCTCCCAATAAATTAAGACTCAAAACCAAGTCAATCCATATTACAGAATAGGTACTATTCCACACTTAACTAGCATAGGCATTTCAACAATACCCAAGTGTGTGCTTCCTTAAGGATAGGGCCTGGCAATTTCACCTGTCAAGATCTATTGTGATAAAGCAATAAGTACCGTCTAAAAAAGCGGTAATGATGGGACACAGCACAGGGAGTTGTTTTCTGTTACTTAACTAAAATAACACTTTCCAGTCTGTATGCTACGCTTTACAGTAACTTTACTGAAATAACACTGAGAAAATCTGTACTTGACTGTACTTCAGTCACTCAGTGCAGTTCAGAGATGGTGTGGTAAGCTGCACCCAGGGAGTAATGACTCATCAACATGGCCACTGGGTCAAATTACTTGTTGCAGTATATGCAGTGTGCTAAAGCACCCCCGCCCCTCACCTCAATCACTCACTCTTGCATGTACACAGCACAGACATAAATTTGATGTGTCTGCAGAAAATTTTAAATATTTTGACCATTGGGCAATAATGTTCTAGCTAATTCAGATGATATTTTACATCCTTTTTTTTAAATGCATAATAAGTGTTTTTTATTCAGAAATTGCCTTTAAATGGTACCTAATAAAAACTGAAACCATTTACACATTTACTATATATAGAGCAACTGATCATCACATGAGTTCTACTTTTACAATATTAACAGCCAGTGTTGAACTGTGTTACAGGAAAAGTTCATCCTGATGTCATTCCAACTGTGGCTCCCCCTACTTCACCACCGGTGACACAAGCACCCACCACACCTAAACCCAGGGACAAGAACTCACCCCCTTTGACATGTGATACTACATATGATGCAATTGCTCTGATAAGAGGAGAGATATTTATTTTCAAAGGAAAGGTAAGTTGCCTTGTGCCTCATTCTGTATGTCCAGGCTTGTTAGAAAAAGTCTTAGAAACAAGGAACTTTTGATGTATTAAACTAATGATGTTTTATCTTTTAACTCTCGTTAACAGTAAACATAAATGACCATATATATATATATATATATATAGTGTTAATGGCCAAATTTTTTAACTTCCTTCATTTATAATGTCTGTAAAATATACATGCAACATAAGAAAGGATTGAACTGTAAAATTAACATTTTACATCACTCCAGTGTTAATTACAACCATTAGTTTCATTAGTTAGATTGTACATCTCGTTCACAGTAATGCCTGATCTTCACTTCTAGTTAAAACAGCTCTAAAGATTATTTTTCATCCTACGTAATTTTTACCAAAATGTGATAAAGATCTATAGCCTTCTTTAATAAAAAACACATGATTATACTTAATGCAATGAAACACTTAGATAATGTTCTATTGAAGAGATATCAATGGCTAGTCAATGATGTAAGAAGATGACTCAAACCTAATTTTATCCCTCTGGGACATGTATGATCAATTAAACACAGACAGGTTTAATTATGTCTGACATTTATTACATCATATACCTTGAATAAACACATTAGAAGTGTGATAGTCAGTGGAATTTATGCTATCAAATAATATAATTACTTGGTTGATGCTGGTTGTTTCTCAGAAGGAATATTAGCTGAAATAGCCATAAGATACAAAAATCATGAATCACTTAATAAGATTATTGGGGTAACTGACCAAATAATAGCTGTTTATGCCATTGAAAGGAACAGAAACAGTTTGTGATATGAAAAAAAAAAGTAGAAGCCAAAAGCAATTTACTGTAACAGTTTTTAAGTAAACAGGTCTTTTCTCCGAGTTCTGGGTTGGAAGGTCGATGCTTATGATCGCTGAAATGATATTGTAATGATGCAGTGGAAAATCAATACAAGTAGACTGGTTCCACGCCTTAGGGATACTTAGTAAAGTTAATCACCTGATAATAATTAAAGTTATAAGCACCAGTGTTACTGTGGGTGACAGGGATTTGGTCTGCTAAGCAAGATTATAATTACAACACAAGCAGCAGAGCTCTCCTCTCTCTCTTCTTCCAACGGTCCATATAATGAAAAAGAAAAATTATATGGCTCTATTCCCATAGATTTAAGATCGATCTATCCCCGCGGGGAGTCTCACTAGATTACTTTCAGATAATCCGACTTAAATGTCCGTCCCGCCTACTACAAGCTGTAAGGGGGTAATTAACTTTCGTGTCCGCCCGGCTGACGGCTATTTAGCGTGAACCCCCAGGGAGTTAGGTCAATCTAAAGTAGGTCGATCTAATCTATGGAAATGGGGTGTATGAAGTTTCCAAATGGCACATACGCTAAATATTTGCCCGATTCTCATACTGAAAGAGTTTGACCTATAAGCAAATCAACACAAAAAAGTTTTCTTTTTTATTTCATCAGAATATTCCTCACATCTTTGATTATATTCTAGTGGTTTTTTTGGTTGAAACGTCCAGCTGAGTATTACAGCAAAAAACCCATATCCACCAGCATGTATTGGAAGGGAATCCCAGATGGTGCTACAATAAATTGTGCCTATGAACGGCCACAGGATAAAAAACTAGTGTTCTTTTCAGGTATGATACAGTCACTAGTAAACCTAACTGTGATATCCATATAGACACATGGTTACCACAGAGAGGGTCTGGTGAATTAATTTATTTAACTGTTGCCAAATGTAACACAGTCATATCAAACTGGGTTAAACACCTCAAGATGTAATTTAAAATGCAATATCCTTGTGGGTGTAAATTGAAATGAAACATCAATTTGTTCTCAGTTTATATTTTAACTCGAATTAGTCAAAAAAGATGCATCTTTGCATCATGCTTTCAAAAAGGAAGAGAAAAGGTAACCGTTTTCAACCCATTTTGATAGAACTGTGCCGCAGGCATCTGGAACTGTAACATGCTGTTGTATAATAAACTTTCTGTAACCATTTGTTAACCCTGACTTCTTTCAGTGGAACTGGCGCAGAGACCAGAAAGGGCTCCTTGATGGCAACACCCCTCTAAGCCTCCATAGGTTGTGGTATGGAATGCCAGATCATGTAGAATACATTGATGCTGTGTATGAGAGAAAATCAGATCACAGAATAATATTCTTTTCAGGTATATTGGCATGGTGTGAACATTAGAGGAAGATGCCAGCTAGCATGGCCTACTGCATGAGTTTTTGAACCACTTAGGCCAAGTTTGTTTGTTTGTTTTACTAATATCACAGAATTTGCTCATTTAGTTTTTTAACCCTGTTTATTTCAGAGTGTTAAGCAGATGGCTCCATTGTGTCACCTAGTACTTAGTAATTTAGTTTGGATGAAAAACATATCTGCCAAATGCTGCAAACAGCTTAAGTCTTCAGCCATATTTAGTTTCCAGTACAGTATGTGAATATATTGTTTTAAATAATGATGTTGACAACTTTGGCACAACACTATGCAGACAGCCTGGCAGCTTTTGCAGAAGTCCGTGCTTCATGCCAAAGAAAAGTTGATAACTTAACTATATGCATCAAGCATTTTTGGCTGGAGATATCTGTATGCTTGCAGGTCACCTTTGATATCAGAGTTTGTTGCATGACTAACCCAGTAGAAGTACTGTACATTATACCTATAATAGAATGTTTTAAATATTTTTGAAGCTTGTGATATTTTATTCCTATACTTAGCTGAAGGCACTAGTTGTCTTTTTACAAATTTTTTTTGTAAATTAAAATCTGACCCTGTTTAGAATTTTAATTAACATCATCCCGTAGAATTTTTGTTTACAAACCCTACACATTTATGTAAAATTGATCTTCTAAGTGAATTTCAACTGATTATATACTATTTTCTTGATAAATTAAATGGACAGTAATGACCAAAATGTCTATTTAGTTACAAGTAAAAATATACATTAAAAATACATGTATGTAAGATATTTCAATTTAGAATTTAATCACCATTTTCAGTCAACTGTCCTCATCAAGCTAACACAAAAATTCTTGTCTCCTTCTCTAGGTAATCGCTACTATGTTTTCAATGCAAACCAACTAGTCCACGGCTTTCCAGAAGAAGGTCGCCCAATCACAGACTACGGTTTACCCAATGACATAGAGAAAATTGATGCCGTCTTCACATGGAGTTATAACAGCAGAACATATCTCATCACAGGCAATATGTACTGGAAGTTGGATGAGAAGGAGCAGAGGGTGGTGCCTTTTGACTACCCACGGGACATGGGGATATGGCAAGGAGTGCCGACCCCAGTAGATGCAGCCTTCCAGTTTTGGGACGGTATGTTATAATTTGAGAATAATGTATCTTGGAAAAAAAGAAAGTATAATATTTTGAAAATAAAAGTATGCTGTATTTGGAAAGAAGCAGTCATGGCGCTGAGGAAGTAAAAAGTGCTAAAAAACAACAGCTATGATATTACAAAATTCATCCCTATTCAAGTTTCCATGGGCACACAATATAACCAAATGACTACTCCTGACCTCATGTTACTACTGGTGAGAAGATGAGCATAGGGAGATGTGGTATAGGTCTAGGAAAAAATGGAAAGACATGAAGATAGCCCTATCTGAATGAAAAAAAATTTTAATTCTTGGGTGTGCTTCAGTTTTAATGGCCCATGTTGATTGCCATCAACTGACAGGGTCCATTTTACTAAAAATGCACAAGGGACAAAAAAGCAATAAAACATTTTATTACCAGATCCTCCTTTTTACTTGCAAGGAAGTCCTGTTACCAGTGAGATACTTAGAAGTTTTCTCAATCTGGAAGGATGGTTGCACTTATCTCTCCACCTTGATGGTGTCTTCCTGGCTGAGTCAGCAGAGAAAATCATGTTCACAGGAAGTGAGAGGGTTCTGGTTTAAATCACTACACCCCATAAATGACCACAAGTAATCAGGGCCACATTTACAGCATGTTTATGGATATTTTACTGATTTTTGAATAAAAAAAGAGCTTGATATATAATTAGCTTTATGCATTAATAGAATTAGTGCAAAAATTTGCAATGATTAGTGAACTGCATTGAGTTGGTAATCCTGTACTGGAACATTAAGACATGGCTTATGACTTTTACAAAATGTTTTTACATATTTAACCTCAGTGGACTGTTCCATAAAAGACCGAGACTGTCTAATGCTGCATCCTTCCGTACATGTACTATATATGACAGCTTGGGGATATGAGTAATCTGCAAAGTATGGCTCAATCAATTTAGTGAAGCCTTTGCTTTGACAGTGTATACATAATGAGACTAAACAGAAGATCAGTCTTGTGCTGCAGTGACTAAATCAACCACTGTATTTTGTAAACCATCTACCTGGTGGCCCTGCGCCAGAACTTCCAAACCAAACGTTTGCCGCTGGGCAGTGAGGGAATAAAATCTAAACATTTGTAGAATAACAAATAAAATGATATATAAACACATATCAAGAGATCCTGGAATTTCCAAGCAGAACATGAGGGGAGAAGAATAGTTTTTAAGTTAATGCATTAATATTAAGTGGTTCAGTTTGGATTTCATAGTCTGTACTATATGTACCATTGAAGTTAGTAAACACACAAAACTGATTTTGAAATAAAAAATAATATTAATTGAAATCATTATGCGTTCTTAATTCGATTTTATAATTACTGGAATTATCAGACGTAAAGCAAAGCAGTGAATGATTGTTAAATATTATTTTCAGTCTGAAAACCAAGGGAAAAATGCAAAATCATAAACCAATTTGTACAATCCTTCATCTTGTTCTTTTTCCAGGTGTAACATATTTTTTCAAGGGAGACCAATACTGGCAGTTTAATGATGAACTCATGAAAGTTGAAGACCAATTTCCCCAACCTTCTGCAGAAAAGTGGATGGGATGTCCCCTCAATTCTACACGATCAGAAACTGAATCAAATACAAAAGCACCAGTAGGTGGAGGCAGTAGTATTTACAAACTTTCTATAGGTCCAGTGATACTGTTATTTTTAACATTACATTTATTTATTACAAAACTAAGGTGAAACATACTTAATATTTTACTAACAGTATTATGTACTTAAATTTAAGTTTCTTTTGAAACAATTGATAGGAATTCTGACTTCCTAATGTGCCATGTGCATTTCTAACCATCTTAAGATCAGTTGGGAAAGTCATCATGGCCACAGTTCATACTATTAAATCATGATCAGTTACATAGAAATCAGACTGTTAACTACCATTGTGTAGGAAAATGTGTACGCAAAGTATTTTAGAGGGGAGGTGGGAGTTTAACAGCGTAGTATTTATTTAGAGCCAGGGGTTTTTTCAGAGCTTTTCTGTAGCCCAGAGGTCAACTGAAATACATATCAGAATCATGGAAACCAAAAATCATAATTTTGTTGATTGTTTATTACACAATGAAGATGCATAAATTGGTAAAAATTAGATGTGCACTGTTGCTATTAGTTGTTTTATGGTGCAGGACAACCATTTCATAATAAGGCCAGTCATGATGCCAAAGACAAGTACAGAAAATTTTTGTGGGAGTGAATTTTCATGTCATAGACACATATTTAAGTACACTTTTAGCGTAGCAATACAGGTAATGCAGGGTTATTTTTTGTATGTGCACTGAAATAAACAAGCACAATATTTAGTAAGCATCACGCTTCTAAACACTACTCATTCAGATCATTACAGATTATACTTGTGCACCAGTGATTTATAAGAACATTTTCAACAATGATGCCCATTGCAACAAGTCCTAGATATTTTGGAATTTAACAAGAGTTGCAAAATCACCTGGAAAATACTCAACATGTAAAAAAAATAAGTGCATGTACACATGCCATGTGCTTCTATAAAGTGCCAAAGTATGTATACTAGTAAATAGATATTCATCATTTGAATTGCATGTTATCCAATTGAGAGTCAACTTACTCTCAGCAGGAACCCTGATGTTGTGGTGCTATTGTTTTGATAAATTACAGGTATAAGTACCTATTTTACATTTATTTTACATTAAGTTCCACTTTGTTGAATTATTATAATTTTATTCCATTAAGATTCAACACATACTCCCAGATTTATTTGAATTGTTTGTACATAGAATTTTAACATGATATCATTTGTGTCAGTTGTACCTTTTAGCAGTTTTTGTACATATCTTTTAAGTCAGTCTTAGTTTTAAAAAGGACTGCAAAAATTACCTTATGAGTGTGGTAACAAGAGCAGAAATCGGTTATGGGCTCTCTTCAACTGCTGAATGATCTCAGATTTCAACTTACATTTTTGTTTTAATTATAGTAATGACATCTTTTANTTGAATAGAAAGTCATGTACTGTGACCTTGAAATTGACCTACTTTTTCATCATGAACTGAACTTTGCATATTTTCGTGCCCCTCACATCTTCAAAACAAGCAGAGATATGCCCAGTGTTGCCCCTAGGTTTTCTCTTTTCTCAGCATATATGCAACACTGATAACTCATTTCAAGGAAAAGCAATAGGCCTATATTGTCCAGAAAATCACAGGAGTGATCAATGTTAGGAAAATACAGGCCAATTGGAAAATCCGCTTGATTGAACCATTTTTATGTTATATTTTTTTCGATTTTTTTTTCATACTTTGAGAATTCTTGTTTATTGCATAGAGCTTGTCAAGGACAAGACTGGTTGTGGTGTCTCTTTTTGGGGGGGGTTTCCATTCGAATGCTCTTACTCCAGCTGGTGGTACAATATCCGGAGGCGGTATCGCCTCTCTGATCCTCTAGTTTTAAATTGTAATGTGGACTAAGTTATTAAAGTAAACTTCTTGCAGTTTTTATTAATATATGAATATATATGTATAAAATGTATTGGCTGTAACATTGTTATCATAAATTTACTTCAAAGTTAATTTTATTATTGCAGATCAATGACTAAGTATCCACAAGTGAGAATTGCATGCATTTCACTGGATTAACAATTCTCATTACTTAATTAAGGTGAAAAACCTCAAATAAACACTGCTGAGACCTAAAGATATGTGACCATAAATATCACAGAAGACAAAAGGCAAAAGTCGGATCTTGTTTCCCTCCATTGTTTTTACTTGGTTATCTTGCCATTTCCATTGCTCAAATCTACTGCCATGTTATAAATACATATATATTTATTGAACGTTCAGAAAATTTAAGTCTTTGGTGCTTAAAAGCTTCTAATTGTGCAGCAATTACCAAAGGTATGCTTGCTTGTATAGTTCATAGCTAGAAATAATAAAATAATATTTATGACTTTATGTCATGCTTTTTGATTTATATAACTGTTATTTGTTTGTGGTGTTATCATGTTACATATATAAATGACAAATAACACAACCATACCATCAATTCCAAAGGGCTAAAATACAACTCCCCACTTGATGGAAATAACCATTGTGTTTTGAAATATTGAATTTTTGTTCCAATAGTTTCTGGACAATGCATCATAATCTGAAATCATGAGAACAAAAAATGCCATGCTGGAATTAAATTACAAAAATATCACGTTTTATCTTGAATTTCATGCTTAGACATTCTTCAACATTTCTCTTGCTAAAATGGTAAATTGTATTGGAATGAACTTAAAATCATTTGCAAATTATCTGCATGTGACAAGGAATATACTGGTAATACATATGTTACTGATATCCCAACACTTTCAAAAGATATAAAATACTTAAAGTACTTAATTATAAGAATATAAAACAAAGAAGGGCATATTTTAATGAAAAGTTTACTCATTTCAAAGATCTTTGTAATTTTTCAATACTTGCTCCAGTGAAGCAAAACTGTCTAGAAAGTCTTCTTCAGCTAGACCAAATTTAATATACTGATGTACAAAAGCCCTTGCTCCAAACATGGACCACGATTTCTCAAGCACGCTGTTCAATGGAGTCACTGGTGTCTGACTGTTGCTTAGTAATGAAGCAGATTTCTCATACTGACAAAACATTCTTGGCTGCTTCCATTCTAATAATCCACAGCCAGACGGTATCCAGTCAGTATACAGTTTTGGTTCTGTAAATGCACTTACATCAGCCATGTTGCAATCTTTTCCTCTTAATAATAGCAGATTGGCCAGTGAGAAGTTGTGATTCCGGATTGCACCAGAGGAGACACGCACATTCCAGTCGATTCCTATGTGAAAATGAACACAATCAGATAAATATATCTGCCTGAAAGAATTAAACCTAGCAATATAATTTTTGCCATTCATTTGAATAATTTAACAATTGTTTACAAAGATTTCCATTTCAATTTAAATCTTTTCTAAAATTTTAGTACTTAACAAATACCTGTCTAGAATGCATGTATGTATGCAAGAAAGTGTCTCTGCATTATTTTGAAGTTTTTCACACTGCTGCTAAAAAAAAAAAAAAGCTACACAAACCCTCTTCCATGGGTGCATTTGCAATGAGCATCTGTCTAAGATGTTTCAGAAGCCCGGGCCACTGGTATGCGCTGTACTGCAATGCTGCCTCTGACATCTGGGGGATATTGAGCAAGCTCAGCAACTTGTAATCTGGGTGGGCAACTAGGTGTTCCAGCATGTCACCTGAAAATAAAAACATGGGGAACTGTTAAACCAGCAACACTGAACATGCCGAAAATAATGAGAGTTTGTCTTTCAGTATCACTGCAGCAAGAATATAATGGTAGCAAACTGTGAGTAGTACAAAAAAGTGATGTCAACTGAACCAAATACTTTTACCAAAAGGAACAAAAATCATGAAATCCCTGAAAATGTCAATAAAATATACCTAGTCTGTTCTGCCTAGTGTGACTGCCTTCTGTTCTAACTGTGGGTTGAAGAAAACTAGCCAGTTTATGAGCAATTACTGTATTCATATCTTGGAATGAAATGTGTTTAATATTCAGCAACTGTGAACAGATTTTCTGAATCTTATCATTCTCCATGATAAGCAATGCATCAGAGTAGAGGTAGAGCTGCGACAATGTCAACAACGCATTGTAATTCTGCACAATGACCTCTCCTGTGTTGTACGGCCATACAACTTGGTTCATGATAAAAGAATGTGGATATTCATCCCTGAGACACTGTGTGATGTAAGCACCGACACCAGAACCTGTCCCTCCAGCTAAGCTCATCAGAGTCAGGAAACCATCAAAGTGGTCACATTTCTCGACCTCAGACTGCACAAGAGCCATGATATCGTCATGAGCTTTAGGTCCGTGTGCACAAAACCCGTGAGCCCAATTGTTCCCTGAACCTTTCTTTTGGCAGAACTGTTGCTTGTCAGGGTAATGCCATTTCCCACTCTTCTTGGCATCTAGTCTTGTCTTGGAAATTGCTTTTGTTTCCATGTCAACCATCACAGCCCTTGCTTCCAATTTTCCATGTTTGTCTTCCACGAAGAACCTTTCGTTGACTGCCTCCAAGTAGTTGTCATTCTCTTTCTTGGTTACACCTAAAGAGTGCAATAAATAAATGAATGAATAAATAAATAGCAAACTATGTATGTATTTAAAAAATCATATATGCTTACCACAAGTAAATGACATTTTGATATTAAAAAGCACATTGAAAAAAGATGAAAAACATGAATGATTTGTTGAGAACACAGAATGCTGTTTAACCTGTATGTTTGCAGTCTGCATCTTCAATTATAGTTGAAAACAGCTGACCTCCTATCTGGTTCCCACATTGTCCTAACTGGAGGGTCACAAGAGGCATGACAGCCTGCTCACTACTGAAATTAGATAATTATCTGGGAAAAAATTGCAATGCACTAACTTAATTAGAAAAAGAAAATCGTGTATGATTGTATGGACCCTACTGTACATGTAATGGTGTCATTAAAATATAAGTCTTTTGATCTATAGGAGTTACCTTCAGTATTAAAACGGTTTATCCATTCTCAGATATGTGGCTATCTGTACAAAAAGAATCAAGTCCCTTGCATTACAAAAGACAGGTGGCTCCTACTGTGCTATAGTGACTCACATAGTACAACTACACTGTGTAATGAAATGCTAAGCTCTCTCGTAAAATTTAGAGAGAGACCTACTGTATGTATCCTAACTTATTGCTAAGTGATTTATATAATCAAACAACAAGAGGATCAGGTCTCAAATGTGGTTTATATCTCTTAGCATTATATTCATATTCAACCAAAACCTACCTAGCTGGAAAAGTTATGGTTAACAGCTATTCGCCTTCATACTTCCCGCAATGTTTCTTATAAAATCCGGAAGTCTAAGATATAGTACGTCCCGCATGCGTAGTCAGACATTTCCGTGTGCCCGGAAAACGTGAGCATCGTAATGCTGTCCACTACTCTCCATCGAATTTTGGTTTCTGTGGTAAGTGTACAAAAATCTAAACACGAAGTTCAAAAACCTCATGCTTTGCTCCAATATCACTCCTACAGCTTCATAGTAAAAATTGACCTGCATTTATGTAACTACACGTTACATTAACGTTAATTCAATTTCTACTTCCAGTGTTTGTGACATCAAATATCAACGTTAATCAGTAGTCACTTCTGTTAGTGTTTAAGGATTCGTTGTTTGTTGCCAAGTTAATGATAGAGTTTTAACTAGTGCTAGTCAAAGGTCGAAATTGTCAGAAAGAGCACAAACTGGCCATGTGATAATGTTGACTGAAGTGTACTGTTGTCAGTCAGGTTTAAAATTATTATTAGTTTTTTTTTTAATTTCAGCACAATAGTTCAGTATACCCATGTAGAGGACGGTCAACATGGAGAATATGGAATCTCGCCAATAAAACTGCTGAGGATTCAGAAAAGAAAGAAAATGAGACACAAAAGTGGAAAGTCCCTTTGATACAGGACAAAGAAGAAGCCAAGAAAAGGCCCCAAAATTTTATACATGATGGAATAAACACAAATAACATGTTTCAGTCTCTGCAAGGAAAAAGGTAAGGGACATTCATTTGAAGAAAATTGTTTTGAAGATTTTGCATTGAGATATGAATCTTATTTAATTTCTCTGTTAACAGATATATGTTTGTTTGAAAAATCAGTTTGTTGATTATATTCAATTTTAATGAACATTCTTTCAATCTGTTACATATTATGGAAAATAAACCCCCTCCCCCTCTAAGAAATTATTTTAATAGAAAAAAAGCTAATTAAATAAATAAATTGCCAGTTAAATGATATCACTTTATATCTTGTAGTTGTTAAGGTTGCAAGTTTTTAAGCATTGAAAAAAATCCAAACCAATGCATTACTGTTAGTCTGTATTTATGATTTATTTATTATTATTTTTTTTTTCAGTTCAACATCAACAAACAGAGGCTATTCTCCACCAAAAAATGTCAGAGAAAGACTGGAGACTTTGGTGAAAGAAGTATATGGGGATTCCTCTGATTGGACAGAAAAGCCACTCACAGACCCATTGCTTAAATTCAAGGTAGCCCTTTATTTAAGCTTGGGTTATATGTAAATCAAGTGGTTCCCAAGGAATTCCACTCATCATGGACTCAGTAATGCATTGGGCATTTGATACAGTGGTGGATTTAGAGGGGGGGGGGGTCAGGGGGGTCCTGACCCCCCTTTGGTTTCTGAAAAAAAGTCACACTAATATATCCCCTCTTGGAATTAGAATTTTGGCTAGCTGATTTATAGTTCTTAACTGCTCCAATGGCACTGTTTCTCTCCAAAACACTCCAAGGGGGCCAAGGGTCAGCTTCGCATTTGAGGCCTGTCACTCCTGAAAAATTGAACCCCACCCCCCTTCAAATAATCCTGGGTCCGCCCCTGTGATACCATTGATCAGATAAGTATCACAGTCTTTATTGTTTTAGAGAATTTTAATCACTCAGGGATCTCTGAGATTTTATCTAAAGATTGCAGTTTTTGGTAAGTTGAACCCCTTTTCATCAATGTAGTTTTACCTTTATCATGTTAAAAGTGTAAAAATAATTCTTTTAAATATATTAATTCTGAACATTGAGACTCTTCCATTTATCTTTCATTATGACAGGTGTTGACAAAGTGTGAAGAAGAATTCGGACATACCATCTCAAACACAAGTCTGCATGATATGAATACAGGGGCAGATGTCCTCGATTTTTTTCTTACTCCTGTCAGAGACACTACTGCTTATGAGGACTTGGCCAAACTGGATCTGCCAAGGAATCTCCATATTCAACTAGAACCAAAACGATTTCATCCAGAAACTGACACAAAATTTGGAGGCATATCTGCTTTTCCTGGAAGAGACACTATTGTTACTAGCATTAAATACAGGAAGAAGTATAAAGGATATAAATGGAAGCCAAAGCAACCATATTTTTACACACCTTAGCAGCCTGGCCTTAGTTGACGAAAATTACACAAATAAGTTAAAATTCATCATTGTTCATAGTACATGCTGTATATAGCATGTAGATCATTGACATTGAAACTGAGCACTGGAATCATAAACAGTAAACTTAACTTGGAGGGGGAAAAGTTAATAATATTGTTATTATTTTCTGTTAAAATCCCATGCCAAATAAAGTTCATCTTTTGAATTAAGACTAAATGGTCTCCATGGATACCCATTGCATATAACCCCACTTTGCCACATTGCCATGAGTAGCTCACCCAGAGGGATTCCATCTCTTAGACTGAGTTCCCATCCCTACATCCATCCATCTGGATTGGTCTAACTCCCTGGGGAGTCTCACTTAATTGCTAACAACATATCCAGCTTAAATGTCTGTCATGCCTACCGAATCAGCAAGAGTAAAGATAATTACCCCCTAACAGCTTTATTAGGCGATGCAGACATCTAAGTCAGTTAGGTTGATAGCAATTAAGTGAGACTCTCCAGGGAGGTAGATCAATCCAAATATCTGTGAGAATGGTTCCTTAGGTATCTATGCCATTGGCTAGGATTTGATTACTGAAAACCAACATCATATTTCAATATGTTTAAATGTTAAAGCAATAAAAATCTTACTTTCTGCTTGGCCAATAAAAAAAGTGGCATTTCTTTCCAAAGCATTAAAAACAGTTAATTTCGTAATTAAATGAGGCAACGTTGTTTTTTATTTTTATTTTATATATTTAAAGAGATAACTCTTCGTATGAGATCTACATTTCACAATAAATACACTGTAAACAACACATAGAAATATAACATTTAATTTTACCAAAAAAACAGCAGTTACAGTAATTAATATGAAATATGTGCATGGCATCTGACCACGTGACCTCCAGCGATGGCTATACTCTGTAATAATCTCGTAAGATATTATTACAAAATAACTTAAAAAAAAAAAAAAAAAAAAAAAAAAATCAGGAACTAACTTTGAATGTCGAAATGGATTCATTATCCATTGGTAAGTATGGGACAACTGCTGTTTACCCCAGGAAAATTCTTTTTTTTTTTTTTTTTTTTTGCCAAAATGAACAGTTGTTATCCCTTAAATTTTTTGGTATGTGTGCGTTTGTGCTGGGTTGGAAGACATAGGGCATGTGAGGCAATCTCTTAGGCAATTGTCAAAGTTGGTAGGTATGAAGCATGTGGGGAGCATGGTGCACAGTTGTAAGTGACCAGCCAGTAGCCACCACCAATTTTTTTTTTTTTTTTTAGAAAAAATTAGATTAGTCCAGAATATCCCAGATATGACAGCTTTGAAACATATCAGATGATGACATAATGCTTTAATTGGCACATATAATTTACATAAATGGGGCCAATGCCATCTAAAAGAATTGATTCCATACTGCTGTACAAAATGTAAACTNGAACACGTACAAAGCTTGGACCCCAAAGGGTCTGTCTCAAAAAATTTAGTCTCAAGATTTTTGGAGATAATTAGCATAGACTGCTTAACCCAGTGGGCAATTTAATATGCTAAGTGGATTTTGCAATGTTGGTTATAGTGCATTTAAAAAAATTAGTCCAAAGATGTAGTTGACTTACCGTATGGAAACCACGGCAGCAAAATCAATGTCAATGGGCTAGTGCACTGAAGTGTAACAAAAAAAAAAAAAAAAAAAAAAGAAGTAAACATTGTTATATGACCCTAATGAGCATTTGCATTAGGCTGACTTACCCGCATTACTTACCATATCCCCCATATGTATCGTTTGTGAAATGACAGGTTTTACACCTATATTTGCAAGTAGGCAATATACTGAATTTAACAAATGCTTCTCTGTTTTAATAAGTTCTCTGCAAATTTTTACAACTAACGTTGTTAAATTCACACATTTTTACATCCAAGTACAATGTACCTGGAGTGAAAGGCCATTGTTTAATATTGAGCCTAATCAAGAATTAACAAGTTAGATAAGTATATCTAGGGCAATCGTCATCCGTCATGATCAGTGTGTGCGTGAGGTAGGTTAAACCGCTAAGATTCGACCCAATTAAGTGTGAACAAAGGGGAAGTGCTTTCCATGCAGTCGGTTCCAGTGTTTATATATAGCGAAACCTGGATGGTTAAATAACCTGTCCTGTTAACCGCGCGTGAACTACATAACAGTGCAGGGCTGAAAGCACTGACCCTAAATAACCTAAAAGTAACTCGTCTTCGAGATACCTGGGCAAGTCAATCAGCGGTCAACAACACGGTAGGTATACAGGCCCCTTAACTGATACAGTATCTAGTCTCAATTCCATGTATTTCAGCTTTAAAAAATGATTCAGTAAAAGTTATACATTAATCGATTTAATATCTGGCAATGTAACGATCGCACTACGGAGAAAACATCTAATCGTAACAGAGCAAATGTAGGGTAAAGGTCAAGGGTTCAAGGACTTGCCTACGAGACGAAGGTCATGGAGCGAGGTCATGCAAATGGCACGGCAGCAGCAGGTTGAAGTTTGACTACGGCAGAGAAAGGAAACCTGAATTGAACTCTAGGTATCTTTTCTTTTCAATTTATATTGTTAGGTGAGGCATTGTGAAAAGCAATTCTGAACTTTGCTTGCAAAGAAATGCACTCAATGTGGATATAAGGTTACGACCCAGATAAATAACATATTACAATAACAGGATGTGAAAATTAACGATAACCATGGCTTGGCGGAATAACGTTACTATAGCCAATCGTTGTATATGATGTGACAGCTATTCTGTCATCACTGAAATCAGATTTGAAATATGTAATAAGTTTTTAAGTTGTGATGAATGGGCATGGCTACGTCCCATGATCACAGTGATCATTTTGGCCTGCTAGTATTGCATGGTCCCTGTAGTTGGGGTTGCCCTGCAGGGGGCAGCACAAAACCGGTTCATATTAGTAGGCCAGCATATTTATCTTACACTGGTAGTAAGATAAAATAGTTTACGCACTTGATAAAAGGTTAATTTAACTTTAACACCACTGCTGCACAAAGATTAAGGGAAGAAAGAAAGATAGGACATAAGATAAACTTTTGTCTCAGATCTTCCCATCTTTTATATAATATTCCTAAAATATGCCAAATTAAATGACAATTAAAATAAATGTTGAAACCGTAAAAATTAAAATTGCATTTTAATTCCAAAAGAAAGCAATCTATGGGTTTATTGTTAAAGAAAACCAAAGAAAAATGATAAATATAAATCTAAATTTATACTTTATTTCTTAATTTAAAATTTCATTTAAGGGAAGAAAATTGTTGAGGGTATTCAGGAAATTTGCCAACTGACTTTTTGGCTCAAAATCACATGGATGTTTGTGTAAAGAGAAAAGTAAAGTCTAGAAAAACACTCGGGAGACCCTTGCTAAGGCAACTGAGTATTAATTTCTTGGACACAGCTAGTAGTTGGTGCTAAAATATAGTTGAATCGATCATCATTTTATTCTATTTTAATAATTATTAAGTTATTTATTATTTGGCATATATTTTTGAAACATTTATCCATATATGCTGTATTGATATAAGTTTTGTAATAAACAGGCATAGTAATAGTCACTTCATTATACAAGTTTTTTTCTTTTCCTGATAGAGTAACCATGGCTTCTGCTGAAGAAATTCAAGATAAAGAAGAAGACTGGCAGAAGAGCGAAGATCCTGTGAACTCATTGTTACTTCAAATAAAACAAGAGTATGACAACCTAGATGTTCCACATCTTCTCCCCCAAATGATAGATGTTATCAATTCAAAATCAGAGACAACATATAGAAGTTCACCTTTAGAAGAAAAGCATACCACTCTGCTTTCTATGCTGCAAAAATCAAATGGCAATTTAAATTTACTAGAACAGTCTGACAATAACAGTAGCGCTATCTCCTTTGATTCCCCCAAACAGCCATCAAATGAAGAAAGAGCCAGCATGCATAGCAGTTTACAAAGAATGATTATGGACAAGAGAAAGAAAACTTCAGAATATCATGACACAAGCCAACAAGATTTTATTCAGAACAAAGAACTAATTGAAACTGGTGACAATTCAGCAGAAAGCCCCTTTTCAAGTTATAAGGAGGACCGAAAAAGAAAAATGGGTCATTTGGAGGACTCTTATCCAGAGAAAAAGCAGAACATCAAACTGGAAGAAAACGGCAATGTTGAAAAAACCATATCCAACCCTGAAGCACAACCAAATCCACAGGTGAATAAATCTGTCAGTAATGGTGGCCAGTGCACCACTTCAACACACCCTCTTCTCAGTGCTGTGTTACTAAGTGCCACCACAACCAAAAAGTCCCAGCCGTTTTCTCAAAGTCCGAGTTTCACTAACTCATTGAGGATAAGAGAGCCAGAGAGTACTACACAGAATGTTGGACAAGTTGATGCTACCACCCTGCCTTGGGCATCAACTTTGATGCAGTCAATCGCCTTACAGAAAGGAAACATCCAACCCCAAGGTGCAGACACTGGGTCTGCTAGTAAGCTGCTCCTTAGGCTGAGTCAGTCTGCTAAGAATGTAAGTCCAGTGCCATCTGCCATGGAGAAATGGAGAAAATTGCTTGATGCCAAAAGAGATCCTCTGAAAGTTAAAACCCCATTCCCTTCACAAGGTAAACAGAAGAAAAATGCTGCAGGCAGGAGAGTTAAAAAGAAGAATGCTCCGACACCATCTGCTAAAGTAAAAAGCAAAAAAGTGAAGACTGTGGCTGACACAGATGAAGAGGATCTCAACTCTGATGACTTTGTGCCTTCTGACAGTGGAAGTGATTGTGCTAGTCCCCATCTTTGGCCAAGAAAGAAAAATGATAATGAAAATATTGGTCATGTGTTGGCCTCATCACCTAACAGTTCTGTGCAGAGACTGTCTCGCCAAGCCAAAGAAAAAGCCAAAAAAGTGATGACACTGGCTGCTTCAGAAGAAAATGAAGATGAGAGTGACGACTTTGTGCCTTCTGACAATGAAAGTGATCATGTCAGTTCACATCCTGGGTCAGGAGAGACAAAAGAAAAACACAAAGGTTCAACTTTAAAAAGTCTGTGGAGACAGATAATTCTGCCTAGAGTCATAGAAAGCAAGAGAAGCTCATATCCGTCCCAACATACAGTCACTGGAGTATCTGACCAAGTTGGCATTAACAGAATGTCACCAAGTATGAATGGCAGTAGTGATAACCAAGGCACAGAAGTAAACACACAGCCAGAAGACTGGTGTCAGTTCCAGATCAAATACGAACCAGTTGACGATGAAACAGAAAGCCCAGCATTAAACCAGGAGCATTCTGAGTCAGTAGGAGCTGGTCCTGTTGTAGGAGAAATTAGTCAGCCCGAATATAATTCAAATTTTATTAATGGTGGACTGTTAAGTCACCCAAGGAAGTCTGGACTGGTTGCTTCTTATGCTGCAGAGGATTGTGTCAACCATGTGTCACTCTTGAGCTCAGAGCAGAATCAAATCATGGTGTCAAACCTGGAGAAAGACAACGCTATTCACAGGCCAATAATTAACACTAATAATATCTCAGAGGTGGAGGTTAAGGAGGAAACTGCCGACTCGACCACTGCTGACATGGAGACAGATAATGCGCGTATATCAGCCCAGAGGGAGTCTTTGCAGCCAAGGTCTTCCTTAGAAACTGTATTACATGGTAGTGATACGGGGAACAGAGATCAACATATCTTTAACTTGCCTTCAGTTGAAATATCAGGAAACTATAGATGGAGCAATACATTGCTCAATGCCGATAATGTGACAGGTGGACAACCTGAAAGTTTGTCAACTAACAGTTGTAGTTTTGAAAAAATGGCACTGTTGGACCTGTATCCTTTTGAGTGTCCTGCACTGAAAGCATCAGATGTTATGCACATTCAATTCTACTCAGCAAAACAAATCCAGGCAGCCCTTGAGAAAGCACACTCTGTGCCGGCATCATCAAAAAAGATTATGGACTTCATGCAGCTTAGGAAAGAGTACACTCAGCTGACCAACAAAGAGCTCCCAATATGTTCAGTGCATCAAGATTTGTTCATTCAGCATGGGGTGTTTACATGTGTCATCTGTATGCAAGCACAATACAACAAAGATGACTTCATCAATCGCACTCTTACAAATTTTGAGCTTGACCATTCTAGATTTGTTGTTCAGATGTCCCCATACAAGAAAATCATTTCTTTGCATGCAAACTCCCCTATTTGCAAATTTTGCTTCAGTCTCATCATGAACAAGGCAACAATACCATTAATTCATACAGATGACTTACTGTGGTGCACTCAGTTTTTGTAATCTAGAAGATCCCGATAAATGATACAGAATTATTTTTGACAAATTATTAGTGGCTGTTTCACAAGGCTATATATAATATTTGAATATTTATGATATTTGCCACATATAATGATTGGATATTAATTATACTTGAATATCCATAAAACATTTTATCGAACTCGCTGTCATTTCAAAAACTGTAACAGGGATCATGCTTGTAATTAAAATACTGTTGATAACATCACATTTATTTATTTATTTATTTTTAATTTTTTATTTTGGGGATGGTCTTTAAATATATTTTGTGCATGCATTCTATTTGATGATGCATGGTGCCCTCCTTTTAACAATAAATAGATAAATGAATAAAAAGAGTGAAAAAACAAAATAGTGCTATATTGATTGGAGACTTTGTATTCTTTAGGAAAAAGTTAAATTCAAGCAAAAAAAAAAAAAACTTACCTATAAATTACTATGTACCAACTTTCTTTGTCTGGAAAGTTCAATATTAAAAAAAAGGAAATGTGTGATTTAGCCAGTTGTGATCTTGTTTTTTATGTCTTATTTTATTGTGTATTCTTCAACTTTTTTTAATCCTAAAAAAATTATATTTGGTCTCAATTGTGCAGCAGTTTTTTCTCGTCACACTGTGTGCAGTTCATGAGAAAGAAAAGAATTGATGGATAAAGAATGACTCTATCAAGGGAAATGCAGCCAATATTAAAAATTACTGTATTAAATGTTCCCTTAGACAAGACTCCCATTAAAACCAAACAATCAACCTTTAGTCAACTAAGTTCTGAAATGAATTTGCTTTATTTTCAAAAAATATTATCATGATGAAATATAAAAAACAATTTTCTCCCATGCTGTACCTCCTGTTATGAGAAAAGTGAGTATATATATATATATATATATAAGTAACTTAATCAAGTAATGAATGATTTCCCCATAAGGACATGTTTGATGGACATATCTGTTATACAATTATGACCACTCTTTGTCACCAATCCCAAATTACCAATAATGTTATTATTCCTCATTCATACAAAGTTAAACAACACAGAGTATTGGTTGTTTTTTCAAAATGTTAGGAAATCCATGAAAAATAGCCATTTGCCTTTTAGGAATATGAAAAAAAAAATCTTCTGTGCTGTCCCTTTTGCTTGTGTGTATTTGTGGATGAGAGAAGTGAATGCACATATAATGCTTTTAAGCAATTAATTGCTGTATTTGATTTAAGTAGCAGAATTTCTTACTTCTTCGTGACTTAAAATATAAATAGTGAGTTAAGTATTCATGATTTCTCTTCATTTTATCTATTTGATAAAACAAAATGGCTATGTAAATGACATTCTCTCAGTAATTGCCACTTTTATGTTAGATTGATCCAAATATTACCTTTTGTAATTTAATTAAATACTGAATGTGCTTTTTTTGCAGGAATGAAGAAGCATCTTATCATCAATGCTGATGACTTTGGTTACTGTGAGGAGAGGAACAAAGGCATTGTAGAATGTTACAAGGCAGGGGCTGTTACAAGTACAACCTTGATGGTCAGTGGTCAAGCTGCCCAGCAAGCTGCTGAACTTATCTCTGAGTACAATATACCTGTTGGTAAGTGAAAGTGAAGGTAGAGTAATGTAGGATATTTAAACCAACACCACAGTGCAGAGACCAGTCAAATTAAGTAAAAAACTGGTTCATTTGCTTTTTCTACATAGTTTTCATGCTTTTTAGTTGAAAAAATTATAATTACAAGGAATAGAAAACATCACAAAATTTCTAACAACTCATGGATTGTTTACATAACCTGAATCCTGAATTTCTGATTAAAATTGAAATCAACCAATGTTATGCTCTCCATACATATACATTTTTAAGAAATGGCCTAGAACGTATAGAGACAAACAAAGATAATGAGACTGTTTTATGGTGCTATAATACCATAGTTCACTGATATTTACACAGCAGACTTTGGTATAATTTGACTACAACTTAATGTTTATACTTCACTGATATTTTTACACAAAAGGTTTAATTTTACTCTAATTTTTACTTTTAATTTTTTGCAGGTTTGCACTTCAACATAACTGAGGGGCAGCCGGTTTGCCAGTCATTTCAGAACAGTGGCTGCACATTCACAGATGCAAATGGTTGGAAATTAGGAAAGATGGGCTTCAGAGAAGCTTTACAAGCACAGAAAGTGGATATGAAAGAGGTCAATGTCATTCATTATTTTTTTTCAGTTAAATTATGTAATTTATTTTTGTGATTTGAGAGCTTACATCTTTTTTATTGGAAAAATGTTATACTTGGTATAATCCTTATGGCATCTGATCCTGGATTGTATAAAATAAATATAAAGCAATGCTTTTAATTGGAAGGTAGAATTATGTGTGATCTGGATGATACACACTCACACACACACACATGCAGAATTATTATTTAATTTCAAATGCAATTTCTTTTATTGCAGGTGAAGTTAGAATTAGAAAGTCAGCTCGAGAAGTTCCAGTCTTTGTGTGGTCAGCTTCCACATCATGTAGATGGACATCAGCATGTCCACACCCTGGATGGTAAGTAGCCTTCAAACATGTTGGCCAGTCGCATGGTTTACACAAGTGTAACTTTTGGGAGGCTCTTGATATACCATTTGGAAAATTGCAGACCCTCATTATATCTTGTCTAGTATGAACCCCAAATTCTAGTGAAAAATCCTGTTAACATACATAATGCTTTACATATAATTTTCAATTTGAGGTTCAGATGTAAAACTGGTAGATATATTTTTTATTTAGACCCAATTAAATCTCTCCATTTTTGTGACATCTCTGTTAAATACTTGGCAAATATAAAAGTGTCGGACTCCTATCATTCAGGAGTGAGGAAAGTGTTTGCTGAAGTCCTATCTAGTCACAACATTTCCTGCACCAGACTTCCAGTGGAGGATCTCTCTGCACCCTGGCTTAACAGTGACTGGAAACAATTCTTAACTTCAGTAGTGAACAGTGCAGTAGAAACCAAGGAATTGTTTTATCAGAATGGAATCAGGTGAGGATTTTTGTTAGAAACAAACAGTTTTTAAAGTGAGCCTGAAGCCAGACTCTTTGAAAAAGGTTTAAATGACTCTCTGTTTCATTAAAAATTTGTATACAATTTATTAATGGAATAAATAAATAGAGAAAGATATTTTAGGTTGATATATTTAGCAAAAATGTTTTTCCCGTTCATGGTCTTATCCTTTCAGCTTCCACAACTGATTTATTTCACTGTATGCTAAAATAATTGATTTCAATTGTCAGGTCAACTGATTATTTCCTGGGCATGACCACCATGGGCAATGAAATGACTGAGGAACGAATCCAGAGTGCATTGAAAGCAATTTTTTCACCAGATAATAACATTAATAAGAATAAATCTTTGGTGTCGTGTGAACTAATGGTCCACCCTGGGTATCCAAATTTAGACCCCCAAGGTGGCTGTGGGGAAGGCCCAGATGACTTTGCTAAGTCAACAGACAGATTGCATGAAGTTCAAGTTCTTACAAGTCCAGCCATGAGACAGTTCTATAAAGAGCAAGGTATAGAACTGATCTCATTTCAAGATTTGTGAGGAAAAGGCATGAAGTTAAAGTAAATAGAAATGCAGTATTGTCATAATTTTACAGGGAACACAACAAACTGAACTGATCTCATTTACTTTGAAGGAAACTATTGTAATTTGCCAATAGTATACAGTACCTGTATCAATGTTTTTTTTTTTTTGTTATGAAATAGTCTAGTCTTCAACTGGCACTCTGTTACCATTATATCCTTTTTAGAATAATCAGACATACATTAAAAATAAAGATATTCATTTTTACATTTTATTGTGATTGTGGCAAAGACATACACCACTTGTCATTGCTGTTTTAATGTAAATTTACTTTCATATAAGTTCTGTGATATATGTAGAAAATATTTCATTTCAAAATTATTTAAAACAGGATACTGAAACACACTGATACACAGGTCATGTATGTGTAATCAGCAACTTTCCTTGTGAAGAGTTTCATCAGTTCTGCTAGGTCCGTGGAAATGGAAAAACACTGTCATTCTTAACCTCCCTCCTCTCCCCATTCAACCCATATTCTTGATCCTGGTAAAGGTCTCCAATAAAAATGGGTCTCTTGAGAAAAATAAGATAAAATGAGAAATGAAAAAATAGAAAAACAAATACTAGCCGTCATTATTCTCCACCATAGCCTGCAACATACACTTTCTCCTACTAGTGTCACTTGTTACCTTGATAAGACTTCCGCCTGAGAGATATGCATTTGTCGGCTGATTTGTAGCGATGACCAACTTCGGAGCTTTGACAAAATCGTGCAGACATTGGATTATTGTTGTTACTGTTCTAGAAGAGGATTTTCAGAAAAAAAAAAGATAAAAAGAAGGTTTCATAATTTACAGTACGAATGTTTTTTTATCTCTCGTAGGAAAAGCGCGTATAAGTTAGACTGATATTATAACTAAATGTTTTAAATTGCAATGCGTCACTTTCTGCCGACTATGTGAGTTTCGTTTAAGACATTTTGGTTTAACTGGTCGAGCCTCTCATTTAACACCATGAGCAAATGTAGACCTATTTCCCAGATTTCACGACAGGGATATTTGCGTTTTAACGAACACTAGTTTCATAGCAGTTTCATACGAACATTGTTTTCTGTGTCCTGTACTTTTGTATACTGGGTAAATTCTCAACATGTTTTATTATTGAAATATTTTGCTTTGGCACGTATATATTAAAAAAATGGGTCAATGCATACTAAAAATACATAAGAAGGAAAAATTAGAAGGTAGCGAATGCAATGACCCTGTAACCCATGATATCAATTCTCTGTTATGTACATGTATCTGTCATGCATATAGCACCACTTTATGTAGATTTTCAAAATGTTGACATTCAGTATGGATAATATGAGGTAATTGCAATACTTTTCTTATTTGAATACTGCCCACAACTTTATGTTTAATATCAAAACCGATTAACACTTGCTAACGTCTGTAAATAATATAAGTTTATAGAGATGGCTGCTTGATAATAAATATTGAAAGTGAAGTGTCAGTCGACAGAAGTCTCCTAGCCATCGCTGGCTTCGTTGTAAAAGGCCAGAATGTCCGCCAAATCGGAGTCGGATTCACTGGTTTCATTGTGTACGCTTCTGCTGCGTTCATTCAGAAGTGTTAAAACTAACTCATCGTTGGCCATAACTTCCTAATGATACAAAATAATAATGATACTAATAAATTGAAGAATAAAAGAAAAGAATATAATTAGCTAAAGTAAAATACAGAATTCAAATATGTTATACCAACAGTGCATCTGGTGTTCTGCAGTAAACATTTGTAAGCTGTGAATTTTGTGTCCGTCACGTACAATTTCGTTGCCATTTCGCTGTTTTTATTGATGTAAATATACTTAAATCGGTCCAGGTTTATCTCATTTGCCATTCATTTTGCCAATTAATTTTGTTTGGAGCTGCATTTATGCGAAAAAAAAAAAAAAGAGTTCAAGCGACCCTTTACCTGAGCAATGCTCAAGATGGGAGAAGTGACCAAGTCGGCTGGAAAGTCATTTACGTAATAGTCGAATAGCCAACTGCAGCAAATAAATAAATAAATAAATAAATAAATAAATAAATAAATAAATAAATAAATAAAAAGAATAGAATAAAACAAAATAATAAATAAGATTAACTGATCGAATTTTCAAAATTAGCAAGAAATAATTGATGCGTATTAGAAAGTTTGGCTCATGATAAAGAAGCTTTCATGAATGTTTGAGTGAAAAAAATTATCAATGATTCTTACTCATGATATAAGATATCATCAATATTGTCCAGTCTTTGGTCCAAGTTACTGAAAAAAAGGGAAAACGCATTTAGATATTTACATGGCGTATAGAAATCTTTAGACATTTTAAAAAGACTAAATGTGAACATTATTCACATTTATGTCAAACAGAACGATGCATAAACTGGGTTTAAAATATGTAAGGTTTTTCACAGTTATAAACCAACATTCAAACATATACATCACATAAGATTACTAATAGTCACAATAACGTATTACACACCAAACAAGACCGTCAATAAGGTCCCTGAAGACATAATCCGTATCTGTGTAGATGATGGTTCCATGCAAGATTTTCCGAGTGGCTTCACGCTTGCTGGGAACTTCAATCCACAGAGGGTGTCTGAATAGATCGAGTAGACTTATTAGAAATCGTCATTCTAGTAGATATTCATTGATATGCATTATTCTGATAGGTATGGAATGCAAAATGCTCCATTTCTATAATTATGCAATTTTCCTTCAAATGAAAAACTATATTATAACTACCTGTTAAGTTTACTCGCAGTAATAGCGGAGGTTAGTGTGTATTTGGTCCAGTAGTCTTTCAAAATATTTGATATGGGCACCAAAATGGCTACCAGTTTCTGAATCATGGTAACTTCGAACGTCCCCTTCTTACCTGCCTTCGAGTAACTCAAACAACATGACACCAAGAGCATAGAAATCTACTTTCCAGGAGGCGGAGGTGCCAGTCAGGACTTCAGGGGTCAGGTTTTTAAGGAGGGTGAAGTTCACCAATCCCGGTCCCCAAATACTTTCCCCATCCTCGGTCAATGGGTGAGCCGACCCCAGATCACACTGAAAAACATAAATATTCGTAAATGAATGAAAAAAAAGGAGAGAACAAAAGAGAGCATATAGCGTAGACAAGATCTAACGTTTAAGCCTAAGAAAACTGAATAACAAGTTCTGTCAGTCATAATCTCCATTTCATGTGCTATGCTACGGACGTAAAAATCCAGTTAGATCGAAAAGCTAATTATTATTTAACATATTATCTGATATCGATAAAAGATAAGATAAGGGTTTATTTAGCCAATAAAATATATCGGAGAGATATCAAGAATAGAAATAAAATGATATCTAGCATTTTTTCAGATTCAAACTTTTTTCGAACAAAGATGTTGCCAGCGAACAGCTCACCAGTTTGGGGATCCCTTGCTGACTGATCAAGACATTGGTGCATTTTAAGTCGAAATGTGCCATTTTCAGTTGGTGTAAATGGTCAATTGCCTTACAGACGCACGTGGCAATAAATTGCACCATCCGGAGAGGAACTGCGTCGCTAAAAAAAGAATTAAAGTAACTGTATTATTAACTTTCTCTAGTCAAAAATATGGAAAATTGCGTTTATTCTGGGGATTATATAAATCATATGGATATCTTTGCCATTAAAAAAAGGAGACTAGAGAATATGAAAGAAATCTGCGCATTTGCAAAAGGAAAAAAAACTTACAAATTTCTTTCGCAGTATTCTTGTAGGGCCTCCACGTCCATTGGACATATTTCCGAAATCAAGACCGTTAGCTCTGGCCTGACATCAAAAGAATGGACAAGCCTGGAACCAAATGTTTTCACAAATTTAAACATCTTTCTTCAATTTCTTTTACGCCAGCTGAGTCTCTGTCTCAACTGACACTCTTATTTTTTTGTTATATGATTTTAGAACCTCGCATGAACTGTTTATCATCTTAAGACATCTGAAGATATGTATCAACATTTTGAAATATAACATATATTTAACAAAGGTTACTACCGTGTAAATGAATTAAAATTTTTAAATGGGTTACAAATATATACAACAGTTCAAATACCCCAAAATAAAGTCGCTGTGCGCCAGCTTCATAACGATCACTTCTTCTCGGATATGGTAGCTGTATTCCATGCATTTTGGCACCTTCATAGCCAGGTTGTTTCTTAACTAAATAAAGAATATTTGGAATGTTAAGTGGGATATACTTGCTTGAACGCTGCTTTGTGCTTTAGTATCTGATATAGTAAAATAATTTTTATTCCATTTATCGGCAAGGTATACAGTGTACCTTAAATAACGAAATTATATGATTTCGGTCTATAAACTAATTTTTCGATCTCTTAATTTTTATTCTTGTCGTTGATATATATATGTATATCAGCCTCCATCACGAGAGTGACTCAAAGAATAGCTTAAAACTAAAGAAGGGGTTCATTGGTCTTGATTCTGGAGATGGTTTTTAGATATGGTATTCCTTCGCAATTAAGCGAAAGTGTTATAATTCTGGAAACATTGTGTGCCCAAAGTTCCTTGTGCTGTTACTATGAACATAACTGTTTCTACAATAACTATGGCCATTACTCCAAGTAATATTATTCTACTGTTGTCGCTCCTGCCATTACCCAAACATAACTTTTGTTAACCTCACAATACCTTGAACACTGTGCCGAATCCTCCGCGTCCTAAGATCGGAAGCATCGTGTCATCCTGTTGGAAAAGAGCTTCGACCTGGATTTTTTTAAAAGATATTCAATCGTTATCCATACTTCTGAAATTCGAAACTATTTTTTATTTTCTTTGATTACCTTTAAGATTGAAGTGTAGGCCTATATCACATTGCATGTAAATCAGTTCCACTTTGCAATTATGCAAATATAATTTTGTTTAATGTCAGCAAAATGCTGGCAAAAAGAGAACTCTAACATAATATTTTTACAAAGTTTCATACAAACCGAGCTTGTGACTCTCCCTTTTTACTCCTTTTAAAACAGCAACTCACCTCGTATTCTAGTTCAAATGTTTCTCTGTGAAAAATAAAGTTGTAGATGTATTTCATGCCTAAAAAGGCCATTTGCGACGTAATTATCATTTTTGCTTTGTTTTAGTAAAACAAAAATCTCTGCATTTTTTTCGCCTGCGCTGCAGTGTGTCTGCGATAGATTTTGCGTTACTACGCAACGACGGCAGGGGTCAATGACGTCACAATTTGTTTTACCTTAAAAGGAATTTTTTTTCACGTGATTCACACATGCACGTATTCTGGTATTGGAAAAAGGTAAAAACCAATTTTTCAAGTATCATGTTAGACGTGCGCAGCATAAACTAACTGAATAGATATGAATAGAATTTAAAGCTGAAATATATGCTTTAGAATTCCGTTTAACAAGGCACTAATAATTAAAGGCTGTCCTCTCAAAATAGATTGACAGCTCGTATCTTCTTGGAACCAATTCTTCGTCTAGTCTATGTAGTTTTCGGTCTATATGCAGAATAATCACCTCACCTCACCTTTGTTTGCGACTGGGTGCGCATTCCGGAGGGAAAACTTACACCCTTAATAAATTTTGGGATATTATTCTTCAAAATGGTATCATAAGTACAACATATATAGTAAAGCTTAACAATAATAATTACTATTATAATTATAATTATAATTTTGGTTATAGGCTTGTCACTGAATGTTATAAATGGGGTGAGGGGTGGTGCGATACACCCCACTGACAGTAAAATGAGCATTAAATAAACTATTTTCCATTCGTGGTCCAAATTTTATATCAGAAATGTCAAACTATCATGGCATCAAAAATATTTTCAGTCAGCAACAGAAAAGCCTGTTTACTATTGTACCAAGTAGCCTACTTGGGCAAGGTGAAACTTTCTGACAAATTTTCGGGGGAACATTTGTTACGTAGTATTAACCATGGCGCAAAGCCTCTTGATTTACAGTTTTAAAATATTTATAAAAGCATCCATGCGTCATATATAACTTAGCATGATTGAATCCCTACAAAATATATCGGAATGCAACATAAAAATTAAAATTATAACATATATTACCGGGACATACGCTACCATTTGGCTCCTGACATAATGTAGGCCTATAGCAATGGTAAAAATTAAAAGTAGATCTATGTAAAATTGAGAGAGCCGTGGATTTTTTCTTTAGTATACATATATGTTTAAAAAAATTGAATACAACTTCCAATGCACTTAATTTTATTATTTTGATATTTCAGAATGTGAAATCCACCTCTATATTTAGTTTGGGTGTTTAGCGTGATCCTTGAAGCACCCGAATCCGAGGGTTCCGTTGTGCATTTTTGTTACCTGTGAAAGCCACTTTTTTCCCCGAGGTGCGTGAAACGTTCCTAATTTAGCGTGATCCCATTCCGAGACTAGTGACTGCGGCTTTTTATCTGAAACGAAGTCATTATACCAGGTGATTCGCGATTTTCATGATTTTCGACCCTCATAATCAGTGAGATATGAATCAAACTTTATTCACTGCTTGGACCTAAATATGTCCATGTTCACTGTGATTCGTGAATTGATGATTTTATTTTCCGTGAACTGCGACCCCCCCCCCCCCATTATGGGACCCTCATTGAAAGAGCTATATCATTTTGAATTCTTAGAGCTAAAATTGCTGTTGTAATAAAGATTCTCAAACTCGATCTTGTCGCCATTTTCCCCAAGTCCTCTTGATCACTTGTCGGTTTATCTCCAGAGTCTAAGTAACTAACGGAACAAAAAAAAAAACTTCTTGTCGTAGGTAAGGGCCGTTGAAAAATTATTATTCTTATTATATTATTTAATCTAGCTTTTACGTTACCTTTTATTTGTCTACTTAACCATTCTTACTTGTTTATTTTTAATTCCCACTTTAAATCTTAGTTTAATTCTTAACTTTAAGGATAGATGATTTTGCCAGTTGACGTTTTCGCCTTGTGTTAATTGATGTATCGCTCGGTACTTTACCTATATACATGTATAAACTCTCCAATTTTCAATGCTAATCAAAATTAAGTTACGACCTCTGTAGTGACTTGGATCAATAGGCCCCTACATCTGCAATTAAAAATTAGTTTGAAGTTTCCTTACTAATTTTTAATTCACCACAGTGATAACCTCGGTTCTCATAATATTTGGAAGGCATAAAGACTATAGGTGCTTTCCCAGAGATTTGGATTAAGATTTAGATCGACCTAACTCCCTGGGGGTTCACGCTAAATTGCAGTCAGCCGAGCGGGCACCGTAGTAAATTATCCCCTTTCAGCTTTTAGTAGCCGGCCAAGGTGACAGTAATCTAGTGAGACGCCCCACAGAGATAGGTCGATCTAAAAATCTATGGAAATGGGGTGTATAATTCCCTTTTCTAACTAATTTAGATCTACATGTAGGCCAGTGAATCTAGGCCTAATTGGGTAGCGGAGACATTGGTCAAAGTCACCAATAAATTAATTTGAAAAAAAAATTGAAAATCAAAGAGTTATGGGGGAAATACTGCAAAATTGATACTGCCAATCGCTCTAAGTTCAGGATGTCCCATATCTGGGTCTTCGCGATTTGACCTGATTTGACCTGATTTGACCGAGTTAACAGTCTTCTCTACCGCAATCGAGAATCCAACATGGTGGACCGTGAAACGCATACAAGATATGACCAGATGAATATTTTTCACTGAACAGTGATGTTGAAACTTGGGGAGTTGTTAAGAAGGTAAAAAACAAATTTCATTTTCAACACCTATTTGCAGTGTTTTTGTAATTGAAAATATATCCAGCCAGTGACAATCTACCATTCATGCCCCCGATGCATGTTCAGTTTCTTGAGTCGAAACTGGACACTCGCTCCCATTGGAAAGTCTATGATGATCAGCTTTTACCACGGTTATTTACCTTTTTTGTAATTGCAATTTCTTTCAGAATATTGGGTTCAATAGTTTACCAAGCTCAGTTAATATAAAAAAACATGAGTAGGAATGCAAGAGACATTGCATACCAGTAGTGCATATGCTGAAACAGTAACTTGGTAACACGGGCAATTGTTGATTTTGCACATAGGGTGTACATGTACCCTCACCACACTTGTTAGATTCTCACTTTGAAATATCGTGCAATCTTACAAACTAAAAATTAAATTGGAAATAGACTGCATTCCAAATTGTAAAACTTTTCATTTTTTCACTTTTTTAGCACAGTTGCTTCTGACCTATTGAAATTGACGTCATTCTATAATGACTGGTTTGGTTATCTTGGGTGACTAAAAATAATCCTTCTGTAACTCAGACTGGTTTTTGTCAGATCTGCTAGTACACATCAGCTGACACATACACATGATTACAGTACCCCCTTCACTCATATAAGTTATTCTTTCTTCTATCTCTTTTGTACTGTACTAGTTGTTGAGCGACTAAATTGCATTCACTGTCTTCACTGTGGCATTGTGTAGGCCTATAGGGTCTACATACATGTAATATATCAGATGTGGATGGAACTTCCCAAATCTAGTCTCATCTGGTAGCAAATTCTTGACTCAAATTACTTTTCACCATGGACTAAACTTTACAAAATTTCCTGCCCATATATGTCTAAAACTAGCCGATATACACCCATAGTTACTATTGAACTTGAATAGCAAATCATATAAATTGTCAATTTTAATGTGACCTTGAATTTGACCTTTGACCAAAATGTACTTTTCACCAAGATCTGAGCTTTGCAAATTTTCTGGCCCGTATATATATATATATATATATATATATATATATATATATATATATATATATATATATATATATATATATATATATATATATATATATATATCTTCAAAACTTGCAGAGATAAACTCAAAGACTGGGTTCCCATACCTAGATTGATCTAACAGCTTCGATCCATTTCTGAGGGGTTTCCTGCTAAATTGTTTTCAGCTTAAGCAGCTTAGATGTCTGGCATGCCTAGTGAAGCTGCAAAGTGATAATTAATTACTCCCTAGCAGCTTCAGTAGGCGTGACAGACATCTAAGCTGCTTAAGTTGATTGTAATTAAGCGAGAATCCCCTCTGAGGTAGATCGATCCACAGTTAGTACGATAGGTTCTGGGAATGGTTCCATAGTTACTATTGAAATTGAACTGAGAATCATGTACTAGTATTGGCAAATGTAATTAATGTAACCATGAATTTGAAATTTGAACTACTAAGTACTTCCCACCATGAAGTGCAGTTTTTTTTTTTTTTTTTTTTGCCTTTAAATCTCCAAAACTGACACAGATACACTCATAGTTACTTTTGAACTTGAATAGGAAATTGTACATTGGGCATCTTAATGCGACTTTGAATTTGACATTTGACACTTTTTGCCATGAAATGCACTTATCATATTTACCAGTCCCTATTTCTCCACAACTAAAACAGATATAACCATAACATACCATTTAACTTGATTGCAGACATGCTGAAGCTGTCGGTCCAATCGGTCATGACCGGGAAAATTTGTTTGGACCAGTAAAAAATTGAACTTGGTCGGTCCAAAGCACCGACAAGAGTTTTAAGAACCTCAATTTTGAATCTACAGTCATCATTCGACATACTTCACTAATAAAAATATTTAAAACCTAAAGCGTTTTCCCTTCCATTTCAAACCTATCACATTCACAAACAAAGTAAGCTACCTAATCTTACTGGTAGAATCTGTCTCAAACGAATAGAGTGATTTTGGTCCGACAAAAATCCATTCGGTTCGTCAAATTTTTCATTACTGCCTGTCCAAATGTCCGGCCATTCTGAAAAGTTTTCAGCATGTCTGTGATTGACCTTGATGTGGCTGGTGGTACAATATATTGTGCCAGCTTTGCCATTCTGATGCTCTCAGTCTCCATCAACTTGGAATTCAGTAGGGTTTTCTTTGACCACCCCATATAATGTTTTTATTGCACATTTAATTATATACCAGACACTAGTTCTGCATATCATAATTGTAAACATCTTAAGCATTTAGAAATGGATGATATTGGCTTAACATGATGTCATGTTCTACTATTATTCCAGATATATCAGATGTAATTTTAAAAAGTATAAAAATCAGTTCAAAAGTCTGCTTGTTTTGAAATATGTGTATTTTTTTTTTTAATTAAGGAGGCACGAAGTAACAGAATATGTGTGTTAAAGAACTGTTTAATCCACAGCAGAATACCAAAGGTGAGTGAATCTTAATGTAAAGAAATACCTTTATATTGTGGCTTTTTTAATGGTAGCACAAACTTTTAGCATTTTAATTTTTTGTAAAATTGCTTTGTGTGGACATGAATACATATTCCACTCCTTAAAAGGGAAACTAACATGTCTTTGAAAGAAAATGGATTTTTAAATAATTATTTAAATCAATTTTTTTGTAAATACACAATTTTGGTATATACTACCATACATTTCAGATCAAATGGGATAAGGCAGTTGCAATTGCAAATTACAATTTGGTATGTACAATGACTTTATTTTGTAAGTGCAAACTGGTGAAATTGATATTAATATGGTTGAATAATTAAATGCAGGTTGTGATAACTGAGGCAATTAAGGGTTCTTAAGTACCATGTACAGGATATCAGACTATTACTATATAATTAGGAATTATTTTTATTTACAGCACATACCAAGCTATTAGTTATTATATAAATTGCTAGAGTTGTCTCTGATATGGCAAAGGTATATTTTCACATAAAGTATAGTCATAATTTGAGCTATTGATGACAAAATTCCTGCAATTACTTGTGCTCATATGTCCACCTCTTTTAAAAATTGCCAGATGTCTACCATGAAAATATCTTAAAGTTCTTACAATTGGAACAGTTTAATTAACCAATAGATACAATAGCTGGTCTGGTGCAGATCTGCAGATTGGAGTGCTTACTGCATTATTGGATTACTTTAATGAAGGCCAAAGTGTCATAATGGAACTTGTGTTCATCTTCAGTTGGTTTAGTTATCTAGAGTCAGAAGGAATTGGTTGATAGCATTTACATGTATTTAAGTATAATTAATCTGCTAATATGGCTTTATTTTTAGCCTGGATAATAAACCCAAATGTAGATTGAAGATTGAGAAGTGGGAGGATCTTGAAAGTATAAAAAAGTATTATTCACACTTGTAGAAAACATTTCCTTTTGATGGTTTTGAAGATTTTCCAGTGGTGTTATGTCTCTGGGATAAAAAAAACAAACATACGTAGTCTCTTAAGAAACAATTAACTTTTTGCTATTTTTAAATTACCTCATTCTTTAGGGGATGAGATACATGTATATAGAATTCTAAAGTTTCGAAGGCCTTATATTTTAATTACACCAATTTTACTATTTCCAGTTCATGTTTGACCTTGCAGTTATAGCCAATGTAACAGATTTTATTTTGAGTTGGACACACTTGAAATTTAAATGTTACCTTTGCACTAATTCACCAATAGAAGTCATTTAGAAATCGTGTAGTTTATTATTACTATTACTTAACATGTACAGGCCAATTGTTAAAAAACCATAAGTATGTTTTTATTAGCTACATATCATGCTAGTGTACATTTGGAAAGTTCTCCTTGATAACCTCTAATTGAAATCCAGTTTCTGAGGCAGAATTTAATGCATAATACTGAAAATCCATATTCTGGAATGATGTTCTTCCACTTGATTAGATGCTGAAGTCGACTTGCTTAGAAAAGCTAGCTATAGGATACTGCTTTTGTATGTGAGTTCTCAATTGAATTTTTTAGATATTAAATATTTTACTGGATTTGATAATAAATTGAATCCAGCTGTCCTTTCAGATTGAAAAAAAAGCCTTTTGACGGTATACATTAAAAAAATGCAATTTTAACCCTCGGGACATAAAATGTTTCACTATCTCTGTTTGTTGTCATTTAAATAAGTGAACCATATATGGGCAGTCTTGAAAGCATTGGCATGTTTCTGGTGGTTTTATTTGAATTAGAGCATATAGGAGAAAAAGAATCACTTTACATGTACAAGTTGAATTTAAAGTCATGCCTGTGCATGCATTGGGAATGACTAAACCTTAGGAGTGTAAGCTCCTAAAATAATCCTTTGTTCACTTGCTGGGCAGTGGGCAGTTTTATATATTGTATCACTGGGTGGACCCTATTGTATTATACCAGACTGGACATTTCCTGATTTCTAAGTAGCCAGAGGTCAGACACAGTTTAGACATATGATTGATTTACAGACAGAGGTAATATGATTTATGTATTACACAAAATAGAACAAGTTCATTGAAGTGCTTCCAGCAAAATTGGTATGGGTACATTTCATTATATTTCTTTATGTTTGGAAATTTTGAAACTATGAAAAGGCACTAGTGAGTCAGTAACTTGTGAAAAGTCACATGAAAAAATATTGTAAAGGCAGTATCACATATCTGATTTTAGACTGAGAGATTATTGCGTAAAGTAAGTGTAATTTCTTGTACATATAAGATGTAATGACTATTTTTCTTAAGTACTTTGTATTAACTATAAAGACAATACAAATAGTTTTTTCAAAGGGTTATATGTTTATCAAAAGCACATTTCAGTGCATATTTTCATTTATCAATGTGCTTCTATCTTAATAATAAATCAATATAAATTGATAAAGCCTGTTGAGTACAAAAGAGAAAGTGAAAATTGTGCCTAAAGTAATGAATCGTGTCATTTTCATTTCAGGTGTGGGAGGGAATTGATGCGTGCTGACCATGCCCAGACTGTCCAGATCACTGGACTCCATGAGCTCCTTGGACCTATCCTCTGCTTCTGGGAGAACCAAAGAAGTGGGTATATTCTATTTTAAAATTGTTGATGTCTTAGGAAGTGTGATGTCATTATTTGTGCTGTGTTGAGTCCTAATATCAGTCATGCATTTACAGAGGACTTGAGAGCTAGATAAAATATCTCCTGTGTTATACTGTAGGCGTATGCACTCACGCACGCAAGCAAGCATGCACACAAACACTTACATACACACACACAAAGATGTATGTACAGTAGATTTAAGTAGAATTCCTATATTTTGTATATATACATATGATGATAAAATTATTCTTAAAAGAACATTTTTATTCAAGCCCCCTGGATGACTTGGTGTACCCTGCACGTATGCACACTTCCACATATATATGTATTCTGTACAGTAGGTGTACACATATGTATGCACTCACGCATGCATGCACACTTTAGTAGAATTTTTACATTTTGCAGTTGATGGTTAGAATTATTCTCAAAGAACATTTTATATATGTAAAAAGGGCATTTTTTCATGCCCCCTGGATGACTTGGTGTGCCATGGCATGTGGGGTCACTTCCACATCTATGCATACAGAGAAGCATGGTTTAATATATATTTTATTTTATGATTTTAAATAAGGACTATAAATGTACAATTTTATGAATGATAACATGGTTTGCAGTGTGCATAATGGTACCTGTGGCTGAAAGGAAAGGGAATGTTGGCCAAGCTTGTCTCATGCAAATCTGATGGGGATTCTTATTGTTCAATATTTTTGCTTTTCCTATCCCTGGAAGATGCATGGCAGTTGTCAGAGTAGAACTAGATGACACAATCCAGAAGTCCTGGACTTCATCACTGAGTAACAATAATAACAATAACAGTTTGCCATCTTTTCTAGTGTTAATTGATTTTTTTTTACAAAGTACATTGGAATGCACCTTGTCTCTCTAATAGGTTGCTGAGGAATAAAACTGTGCAAGGTCAAAGTGGTGGCAAGTTAATTGTAGCTAAATTGATGGAAATGAAATTTGCGGGATGCAAATTAATATTGAGTATTGCATCGTTCCCATGACACTAAGTGACTCCTTATGTATTTACTTAGGGTCGTAATTGAGATATTGTCCTGCACGTATATGTCTTTAATTTTTTATTTATATCCGTACCAATCCATTTTGATTCTTCCCTTGATGAGAAGAAATAAGGTTTGATTTATCTTCTTCGATTTCCATGTCATGGATCATCTCTGAACCACTTCAGGATATATCTATTGATAAATGAAGAAAAAAGAGCTTTTTGATGAGATATATTTTATTTAGTGGATTGCCTGGGATATAAATAAAAAGGAATTGCCTAGGAAATATGATCAGTTTCAAGATTGTTTTGTGTTGTTATAATGCCATTTTAGTGTATATTATTGTTGGAAAGTCCATTTCTCTATCAGAGAAAATATATCATTATATCCTGTTAAATATCATTTATACTTGTTATGATAGACTCACCACGTCCACCAACAGTGCCTTCAAAGCATACAGTGTGCTCAACCTATTTAACATTTTCTCCTTTATCATCAAGGTAAATGACATATGATTAAATCCAAAATTGTTGAAAAAATTATGACCCACTTTTGAGAGTTTAATTTCTCTTTTTCAGTTAAAAGTAAAATTCTCAGACCTCTTTCTCTAGACAAATTGGATGAAGGGTTTGAATTTTGTCAATGGTTTTGACTAAGGTGTACTTCAGTGGTTGAAAGAAAAAAAAATTAATTTCCAGTAAAATAAATGTTTCGTTCTATAAAGGTCAAACACCAGTTGCGTACCTTTAAACCTTTGCCTGCATAAATAATGTAACTATCATCACTTTTTCTCTAATCTTATTTTGTATGAGTGTTGGATAGTGAGGTGAGTTGCTTGCTTTTGAAATCTTATTCATGTGTCAGCACCGTACTGCTTTGTACTTTTAAACTGCCCCCGGTAATGTGAGAATGTCAAGTATTGAGCTTACTGTATCTTTTGTAATGATTCACTGTATTTTCTCAATGTTTTTCTATACATTGTATATATATAATAATACATGACATGTGTGAAAATTACAGTCTTTTCAGGGGAGCCGTCCATCCTTGGAATATGAAGTATGTACATAGTGAAGTGCATACCTCCCTACCCCATCTTCCCTTGACTGTGTATATACATGTAGTACATGCTTTTATGTGGTGGCTACTAGTTTTGTTGCTGTGCAGGTGGTTTGCTCAATGATATACGTAGAGGTAGACTATCTTGGTCATTGATTTGATGTGTTTCTGGGAGTTGGATATTTCAGATGCTGTTGTCAGTTTCACGTGTAAATTGTAATGCTTCCACATTATTGTCGAAAGTTTTAAGGTTATGTACTCTGAAATATGCCATTATGTGACCAAATTTTAGTTTTTTCTTTCATTTTCATATTTATGTATCAGTCTATCATTTTTGCATATATCTTAAATGACTATGCCGATCAATATTTTGATGCCAGGTGAGCTGTCAACATTCAGAAGTGCCATTTTTACCAAATACCTGAAAATGTTATTCAACCACTCCTCAATAATTCTAATTGGCCGTAGATAGCAATCCCCTCAGTGGATAATTCAGTTACTGTTGCAGTAAAATCCCAAAAATTGGTGCCACAGTAGTTATTGTTAAAAGTGTATAGAACAACCTGGTGCCAAATATTTTTGATAACATCTTCAAACCCAATTTTAAGCAATCTTGTTTTCAAGGTTCCATCGAAAATTGATGTTAATGAGGGTTATTCTTGAACAGAGTGCTTTTAAGAATATCTGTTGTACCCCTTAGTGGTACTCATGTACAGTTTATATATGCCATTAACATTTTTCTGATAAGGACGGAGGTAGTAAAGAACATCAAGACACCCAAAAAAGCACTTTTACCTCAAAAGCACTGATATGACATTATCAGCAAGATGATCGTACTTCTTCTGAAGACAAATAATCTCCATGAACATAATGTAAAGGATAATATAATAATAATTTTATGCAAAGTTGTTTTAGTCATATTTTGGCTAACAGGGTATATAACTTTTCGTTTGAAGATTGAGGTTCTGTTCAGATTTCACCTCAGATGACCTAGACATGGGTGTGAGAAGTGAATCTTTTTATAAATGATATCACTGAAAGAAGCATGAGGTCAAGATATTTCCATCCATGCATCTTTTTTTATTGCTGTGAGCTTTGATTATGAGCTTGATGCAGAGACTGATATGCTTGTTCGCAGAGTTACTGCTAAAATAAGCTGTTCAAACTGTAGCTGCTGTGTAGATGCCAGTTGATTAAATGTAGAGGAACATATAGTTCAAAAAGCATATTTCATTGTTTTGTTAAGTTTTGTTAAAGTGATCTTGAATATGATTACAAACAAAAAAAAAAAGAGGGCAGATTTATTGATATATATTTAAATGAGGAAAAACTGAAGATAATGGTTTCAAATATATTCATCACATGATAATTTTGTAAATTTGTCAGCACACAAAAGTTACAAGCATTTACCACAAGATGATCTATGGCCTTTTTCACATTTCGCAGCATGCTGTATTGCAACATTTTGAGTGGCTAACTTCTAAATGGCCTGGCTATTTGAATTTGTAATAGAGTCATCTGAACAGTGCACCTTAAAATACTAGAAACTCTGGTTGGACATGAACAAGCAGGGAAATTAATCCTTGCAATTTGGTCTAATAAATCACACAAACCATCAGGGATTTTAACCCCAAAACGTACAAACAGTTGCAGTTAATATAATTTGATACTGTAGAATCTTCTGATAGATTAGAATAGACTTTTATCAATGTAAATAACCCATTGTGGTGCATAGGTTTAAGCAGATTTTGAACTTTGTGATTATTTTGGGCACCAATTGTTAAAAAATGGGCTCATTTTTTAAGTAACTGGATTGTGAAAAAAATTAATAACTTTTGTCCTGAAATGTACCCAGGGCCCATGACAGGACCACATGTTCTGTTGGGAACTGTTATCTGGTCAAGGTTCTTTGTCTTGTTTATTAATATTCTTCAAGAAGTAAGGATATCCAGACAAAAATTCTAAAGAACTTCATTTGTGCTGGAAATTATGTTCCTGAGAAAAAGTCTTTTTCAGGAAGTTTGAATTCAGCTTTTTTTTTTTTTTTTTGCAAATAATTAGAAAAAAATTAGCAGAGTTGACCAGGAGTGCATAGGCAACAATCTTGTGCCGTCAGTTTGGTTTATATGTTTTTGTTATGGAGTTATGATACCCTAATTACAGATTTTCATTAAAACAAAAGCATTATTTTGCTTTATCAATGATAAAATCTGAACTTAGACTTTTAAGAAAATTCGCTGTCAGGGTGTGGGAGTACTAAATGGTGTCAATAAATTGGTGTTGAAATGGTGAGGGTGGGAGCTCAGGTAAAAGAGAAATTTGAGAAACTGATTTTTCAGTTTTTATCCCAAAATCGCAATTATGACGTAACTCATAAGATGTGTAAATGTTAATTAATTTAGTCACTAAACACTGAAGATTTATTTATAATCCAAAAGAATGTATGTAAGGCAGTAAATAAGGAGTTTTGGGAGAAGTTTTGGGGTGACAATGTCCTTAAGGCACCAAGGCTAAAGTGTTCTATGGTCTGTTTACTATAATGGAATAAATTAATTAAACATTGAAGTAAGGCACAATTTTGCATATTTTCTTACCCTTTTATCTCCAAATTTGGCTGAGGTAAACCCATGATTATTATTGAAGCTGAATAGCAAATCATACATTGGCAATCTAAATGTAACCTTGAGTTTGATCTTTAACTTTCTTTTCAACCTGAGATAAACTTTGTAGATTTCCTGACACTTATATCTACAAAACTGACATGGATACACCTATTTTTACCATTGAACTTGAATAGCAAATCATATATTGGCACCCTGAGCTTCAGAGATAACTTGACACCTACCTCTTCACTATAGCCTATCTTCATCGTGTCAAGTTACCTCTGACCACATTCGATTGCTCCCGCCGCCCGCCAATCAAATTTAAAGCCCGCACTCAATGACTCATTGAACGATCTAGCCAATGAACGCGAACGAGTCAAAGCGCGCTTTGTTCAAATCCGGACCAATCAAAGATAAGGCTGAATATCAGGGACTTGCCGTAACCTGTGGGCAGCACGCAAAATACATCATCCCTCAGTAGATAATGATGCAGGGCCTCAAACTGCTCTGGTTTTAATTCCGATATACTCATATTTTGCAAAGAATCAAGAGATAACTTAACACATTATTTTTCGTAGTCACTCGTAGGAGACGCCATGCTTTCTTTGTGTACGGTTATGCACTCGGAACTACTCAGATGTCTCCGCACTCGACAATAACTTTGTTGTTAGTATGGAGCTTGCGGAATCAGCCGAGGATTACCGATTGACGGTCAACCAATCAGCGTTTTCACCAAACTTTGGTGAAAATTTTTGAAACTTGGATTCGATTGGCTTATATAAACTAGGTCAAACTATTTTCGTCAGAGGTAACTTGACACGATGAAGATAGGCTATTGTGAAGAGGTTAGTGTCAAGTTATCGCTGAAGCTCAGGGTGTATATTGGTAACCTTAATTTGAATTTGACTTTGACCTACATTTTACATGAAATGCACTTTTAATTTTTCTAACCCTTGTATCTTCAAAACTAGCAGAGATATAGTTACTATTGAACTTGAATATATTTAGGAAGTCATATATTGGGAATCTTTTGTGACCATGAATTTGACCTTTGACCTTCTTTTTGCCATGAAATGCACTTTGCATATTTAGCAACCTTTATTTCTCCACAGTGAAAACAGATAGATCCATAGCTACCAATAAACTTGAATGAACTTAATCTCGCTGGTGGTACAATACCTGGTGTCAGTTTCACCACTCTTATGCACTGATTGTTGTTTTCTGTACAAAATTCATTGTTATCAAATTTCAAAGAAGGAAATACAATAAACTTCTCATAATTCATTACCTCAATTGACCGAATTAGTATATTATCTTCAATAAATCCAGAAAAACAAATATTTATACCTACATTATAGTATACAAGTAAATTCTGGTGTCACTATTATAGTTCAACTTCTTTTTTTTATGCAGAGCAAATGCCGAAATATAGTTTTTCAAAATATGCCAAACGACATCATGCCAGTCAAATATCAAATATTTTCTATGGCAAAAATAAAAGCCAAGTACTCTAACAAACCAGATGAGCATGAGAGAAACCAATACATTTGGGCGTGCCACCAATGTGGTTGACACACAAGACTAGTGAATTATTAGATTGAAACATTACTGAAATGTCACATCAGTGTGGAAGTGATTTCTCTTTGTGACATAATGTTCTCAAGCGTTTTTTTTTCATCAAAGACAAAATGTTAACATGAATCTCACAGTAATGTGAAGTGATGGCAGTTAGTCTGATTAGTGAATGATGTGCACAGAAAATAGCTCTTTGTTATTTGAAATGAAGATTGTAGTAGATTCAGAGCTGCACAAAGGTAATTTTTTAGACAGTATATATTAATGACTGTCGCAATGCATTCTAAGAACACTGAAATTAATTTCCTTTCTGAAATGCCACAGGTCCCTATATACCAATGCTGAGGAGAAAAGCGGGATAGATATAATCATGAGGCACATGTACACGCACAGTAGTCTTATCTGCTGTTGTGGTCCAGTTTTTGGTCTTGTTTCACATAAGGACATCAGTCAAAGTGTGGTTTAACTTATGACGCAAATATTTCAAGCTATTTGGACCTAAGGCAGATCTTCATAGTTTGGTAAAACAGAAGTATTTACCCACTAATGTTTTTTTTTTTTTTTAGTTTGGAAAATTTATTTTACTGGCCTGGATTATGGTAAAAAAAAGTACTTTACTGCCCTAGTCAAAGAAGACAGAAATTAGTGTTTTTTAAGTTGGGACAAACATTTGACTGAAGATCTTTGTGAAACAGACTCACTTTTAAGGCACTTCTTGGCCCACAAGTACCAGTACTGTATTTTTGGGGCACCTGTTGAGAGAAGAACACAAAATAATTATACAGAATGTCAGACTTTGCCAGTTCATGTGAGAGATGTGAA